AAAATAATTGTTGTTTACACCTTCAAACCTCCCATGTTTCCACCCATTTCTCTCGCATTTTATTGCTTTTTACAATGGCTTCCTCACAGCCTGATTCGCCGTCCGATTCTGAGCATGAAGCTATTCCCGAGTCCCCGCCGATGCCGCCAAGCCTCCATGACGCGCCGCCAAGCCTCCATGACGCGACGCCAAGCCTCCATCACGCGCCGCCAAGCCTCCATGACGCTATTCCCGAGTCCTACACCTTCCCGCTGCCTCCTTTACCTCAGCAGTACGATACGCCTAAGCAAGGAATTGTCGCGATCAATATCTTCGGCCGCCAGCATGGCTACGCAGTCTCAACTCTTCGGTCGAAACGTACAAAGAAAGGGGTCCTAAAGATAGTTCGCCTATGCTGTGACCGGGGCCGCCGGCTAAGAAACAGCCCGAATAGCCCTACGCGGAAGCGGGAGACTACCTCGCTAGCGATTGAATGCCCCTTTTCGATATCGCTACGGCTTCAAGAAGGCCGATGGAACCTTACAGTGGAGAATCAACACCATAACCATGAGTCCTCGCCTCCTCTTACTCATATGCCACACCGGAAGCAGGAATTGTATGTAAAGGCATCGAATATTGAGAATCAGCTCCAGCAGGGTCTTTCTACCCGTCATATTCTCACCGGCATTCAAAAGGACGACCAGGATTCCTGCCTCACTGCCCGGGATATCTACAACTTTCGGAGGAAGCTTTATGTTGATTTCCTTGCTGGCCGTACACCGCTTCAAGCTCTCTTGATAGAGCTTCCAAAGGACGGCGAATGGATCTTCAAGTATGAAGTTGACGATGAGAATCATGTCACAGCCCTCTTTTGTATGCATAAAACGAGTATTGCATTCCTTAAGACAAATTCATGGGTTATTTCAATGGACTGTACATATAAAACTAACCGGTATGGCCTTCCAATGCTCGATATCGTCGGCTTCACTGCTATGGGCTCAACCTTTTACATCGGCTTCGCATTCATAAAGGACGAGAAAGATGACAGCTACGAAGTCATTTTAAGCTGTCTAGCAGAGGCTTACGAAGCTCTTAGCCTTCAAGCACCCCGGACCATCCTTTCCGATAAGGAGCAAGCGCTAATGAATGCTGTGAAGGTCGTCTTCCCTTCTACAAAGTATATGATCTGTCTATGGCATATCAATATGAATATCATGAAGAAAGCTCGTCCGATTCTCGCAGAGCAGCTAGCAAAAGAGCGGTAAGAGGCTGCTTCCTCGGCTTTACAGCGTCAGACAAAGGCGGAGAGAGACCGAGAGCTTCGAGAAATGGTCCATGAAGCATGGAAGACGATGCTAAAGCGGTGGATTCGCGTCGTCTATACGATCACAACCGTAGAGAGGGAGGAGAGATGGAGACAATTCAAAGAGCACTACAAGGAGCCGATTTTTGAACCTTTACTCCAATATCTACAGAGTGAATGGCTAGACGACTGCCCTGAGTATTTCCTTCATGAATACACCTCCGAATACCTTCATCTCAATGAGATTGCGACCTCTCGGACCGAGGGAGCTCACTGGCTGCTTAAGCAGGGCCTTCAAGTCTCAACTAATGATCTACTAGTGGTCCTTCGCACCTTTGAGAATGCTGTAAAGCTTCAATTTCAAAAGGCTACCGCTAAGATCGAGAATGAGAAGGTAAGAAGGCCTACTGATAGTCGCTGGAAGCAGCTATTTAGGCTAGTTCTTGGACGAATTTCAGCCAAGGCGATGGAGCATACAAAAGACGTCTACAACCGCTTCCTGCCAGCAAGTGACGAGAAGCCGCCGATTCCTCCACTTTGCCGCTGTAATTCGCTAGGTACGGCAGGGTTTCCATGCATTCATCTCATCATACAGTACGAAGTGGAGAACAAGAGCTTTGAGCCTGAGTTATTCCATCAACACTGGCATTTGTATAGTGTCTCTGCGCCTCCTATTGACCCGCTACTCCTACTCCAGGATCCTCTCCAAGTACGCCGGCGAGGACGCCCCCAAGGCGCTAGGAACTTCATCGGCGGCGAAAGCACCCAAGCAAGCACCCAAGACACCTCCACCCAGCGAGAACCCTCCGGCTTTGAGCTCATGCTATCCCAGGAAGGTGGACGTGGACGTGGCCGTGGCCGTGGACGTGGCCGTGGACGTGGCCGTGGACGTGGAGGAACACAACAAGCCTCGCAGGGTGATAACGGAGTGGGAATAGCTTCATCTACGGCCCAGGAAGGTGGCCGTGGACGTGGCCGTGGCCGTGGACGTGGAGGAACACAACAAGCCTCACAGGGTGATAACGGAGTGGGAATAGCTTCGTCTACGGCCCAGGAAGCCCGTACGGCATCGCCGGCGAGCATTCCTCCTTCATCTCCAGGGTCGGGAATAGCTTCACCGGTCGCTCAGGACGCGAATCGCCGGTCGGGCCGGATCAGGAAGCGGCCAAAGCATTACGAATGGTAATACTGTCGAATTTACAATATTTCTTCACTATTCTTATGCAATTCTCTAAGAATTTGACGAAAAATGGGTGCTGGCCCCTGCAATTCCTTCATTTCTGTAGAGTTTTTGAAAACAGCATCTATTTCCTATTTGGGACTAGCGCTGTGCTTTTGGCATGGTGGTGGTAGAGTACGAAAGGGACTTCATGTAATTAGAGGGTTGCATAGTAAATGTAAGTACCTCTAGTTTGTGTTGGAAGCATGGTCGCTGGTGGCAGAAATATGTCCGGCAGAAAATATATTGGCCTGAATCCTCAGGCAGGGGGGGTGTTAGCATCCAAAGGGGGGGTGTCTGTATCAATCCCCTAAATAAACCTATAAAAGCTATATTTTGGCAAACAGAATGAGATACAAAAATATCATAATAGAATAATAACCTCTTAGGTGATACTAGAATATACCTGAATATCATCATTATAAGACTAAGATTATGGTGACATAACGACGATTTCAAAGCATCACGAACATGGAAATAAAGGCAAACGAGGGTGGTACCAACGACACAAGTGGTATAGGTCTGGGAAGCGGCTCCCGTATAGATAAGAGGCCACCAGCCCAGAGTGCCAACAAGGGCCTTCCAAGTACAGTGAGCACAACGGCTATTGACCAAAAGCCCAGCTCTGATTTTGATCACGATTGCTCCTTAATGGTAACCGGAATAGTCCCAGATTCATTCCGGTTGCCAATTTCAACCATGTACCTTTCATTGTGGTTGAGCTTTTTCAAATCAATCCGTTCTCCTGGCTGCGTAGAGGCTCTCCAGGCTAGACTGCAAATCCTCGCATCCTTTACGTCGTCCACAAGATCAACGCTTCCTTCGGACCCGTTTGTAGAGCAGATAGACCGCATACCACCGTTATGGCGAATCACCATGTCGTCAACATCCTCAGCAGTCAAGATATCGCTTCGGTCGTCTTCATTGTAAAACTGGCCACTGCGCAGATCTCAGAAAACACGGCCTTCAAAAGTAGGGGAAAGAGAAGATACCTGTGAATGTCCGCGTTTTCGATACGGATATCATACTTCAAGTCATCTTGAATTCGGATTTGGAGGTTTTGGTCGGGAAAAGCGGAGGTCATAATTAGTCGATAGGCTGGTTGAATCTGAGGAACTGTTTGACAGAGCAAATGTGGATAATGAATACTGCGTTAACAATTGAAACAGCCGGGGATAAGCACTATATACCAGTAGGAGAGGTGACGTGGTCTATGACGGTTGCTCGATTTTTCAATCATGGAAAGACGCGGCTCCATGTATATTAGGCTCTGCTTTGCCATGATTCATTGGTCACCCGATGTTGTTTGGAGACCTGTATTTTATTACTGAGTTGTGACTCGCACAACTCGTACGATTTAGACTTTCTCATGCAATTCTCTCGAAGTTTGCGACCGACCATCGATTCTCCTCTTCCGAAATGGAACAGTCTGGGACCTCGTCCATTCTTATTGTACTTTTAATTCCTGGACAAGTAACTATCTTGATATGGCTTACTCATTGCCGGTCTAGTCTGTCTAGCCTGTCTTCGCTATAGTATCTTAGCCGTCTTATTCAAAATAGATTTCGAGAGTCTCCCTCGTAATGAATGTACTTTTGACTAACTAGAAACTGATTAAACCATTCTTAATAGCCTGCAAATATTCAAGTCAATCTAAATCACATTCAAAGCGAGTCGCTTGGCCAATTGATGCTGTTTCTTGCCAACCGAAAGATGGAAAAGAGCCGCACAACCCCGCAATCCAGCGGGTGTCGTCAATGCCAGGACCGAATCCCATGGTTAGGCTTAGTGGGTTGTGTTCGGTCCATGAAATCATCATGAGTTACAGATGCCTGTCTATTGATCTACCTCAGCAGGCGACGCGGTCAACTGGTTTCCAACTGAATACAATACAATGGTTACAAATAGTCACATACGTTGTGCGCCAAATATTTACAATACTGTGAGCTAGCTTCAATCCTCATCTAATTCCTTCCTATCCGACAACTGAAATAAACAATTTCAACCGTACAAGCAAATATTTTTTTTTAAATATGTCCTAGGAAACCATTCTAGGCGTTGAGCTATTGACCAAACTGGCCAGTATCATATTAGCTATCGCAACGAACTTGCGAGATAATAGATTAGATAGAAAAGCCTTCAGAAATTTTTATGCGGTTACGCTTCTCGGCCGCCTTAGGTCGACTTATCTATACTTCAAGGCGAGACTCTCGATATATTAATCATAACTTAAACCTAGCATGCACCTATATAGAGCTGGTATCCGGGCTTATGAAGAATAACCATGCTATATAGTCAACATTAGTAAAGTGGTACAGCTAGAAGAAGCTCATCTCAAAATATCGACTCTCGCGTTTCTCGATTTCATCGCAAACATCAGTTACGCGAACAATTGTAGAACGTCGAGAACAAGGCAAGAGTATTATATACAGATCCCTAAGCTTAAAATATAAAGGGACGCCTCCACTATAGATTAGTGAGTATAAGCTAAAAACCTAAAATTTCGATCCCACCTGTATCTATCGAATATTGAAGAATCTCAGTTACTTTACTAAATGGCCTTCCCCTAGAAGGTATTGCCATCTTCTTTCCTATATTAAATACAGACAATCGTGCTAAACCCTGATCCATTGGCTTTCGAAAACCTCCTTCGTCGGGGCTCTATTCTTTAGCAGTATTCAAGCCTACCATTAGACTAGTGATACATTTTAGCCCTTCTAATTCTTTATAGATATTTCTTAAATCTCAACGTATCTATGCGAGAATAACTCATTAAAGTCTAAACAAAAGTCTACAACATAGCCAAGACCTAGAGTAAAAGGGGGGAAGGGAGTGTCGGATGTCCTCTGGGACCTGGATTTCTAGTATCCATGCCAGTCAGCTCACATTGATAATATGATGCTAAGATAAACTTATTCAAAGCTGACCATGGAAACAAGGTGCTAATAATTCAGCTCGAACGTGATGAAACAGTATAATTGCCCCCAGCGCTCTTAATACCCCGTTTCCAGTTGTTCCTGGTGGTCCTTAGTATTGACCAGGACACTTACATATTGCATTTTCGGCAGTTGAATGAGCTGATAGGTACATAAATGTAGCCAAAACCTCTTGAGTTACATCAGTCCAAGGGGAGACTTTGTAGTGTAGTTAAATAGTTATTAGGGGTGGCAGGTGGGAACGTAAAAAAATATGTCTCGGCCAGTATAAGTAGCCAACATACATCACAGCGAGGTAAGAACGCGTTTTGCTGATCTTCACGAACAGACGAAAGACTGTTGTTGAAAAACCATTGAACCTCAACTTTATTAATTAATCCGTCTAATTATAGATGACAAGAGATGAAACTCGACCGAAAGCACGATGAATATCAAATTGACATTGAGACATTTGTGACATGAGACTTTTGTTGAATTTGACAATGTTGGTTAAGAGATGATGGCGCCTCTTTCCCTTTACCACTTCTTCTCTTGACACGAGACAGTAGCGTCCTGCAAGTTTATAACCTGTCCTTGTGCGAAGGACAGCCAAGTCTTTCTGTGGTTGAATCCCAAATCACCGTGGGGACATTCGATGGTGCAGGCTGTGTTCTGCTTGAAAGCGACGAGCTGGCCGCTCGTGGCGTAGATTCCCCCGTGTTGGGAGAGTGCGGTGTTGCCCCAGAAAGAGCTGACGGGGTACTTTTTGCCGTCTTCGGGGATGCACTTGTTCACATTGGCTCCAGAATGGTCGTTGGAGAGTTGGATGGTCACAGTCTGGACATTCGGGTCCCAATCGCCGAGGGCAGAAGCAATTGGAAGCAAGAACCCAAGGTAGAACAGGCCGGTATATCTCATCTTGAATGGAATATTGAGGAGGGGTTTGAAGATGGAAGTAAAAAAGATCTTTGTTTTGCGGTCGATGCGATTTGAGAGGTAAATTGTAGACTCTTAAATAATGTCGACAAAAGCCAAGAGCCGCCGGTCTAAACGCAAGTCAAGGCGTTGCTAGCAGGTCTAGACAGGTCTAGGTTGAATTTTCGCTTCACTAGAGCCCTGAAGCAGATGGTATAGAAGATTCTATGACATACATGCTATCATGGTAATGGCACGCTGCAATACGACTGGGCATCCCAGATGCGGACTTGATTTTCCGAATAGCATGATCTAGCCTCATAGTTTTTGGACGACTAAACTGAAGACGTTCAGCAACTCATCGAACTCGTGCTCTCCTTACGCGATAACACGACCATTTAGAATACACGAAGAAAATGTTGGTTGGCGGCGATTTCTGTTATAGCGGCATAGTACATGGAAGCCGAATACGGGAGTGTGTTCACCGGTCAACGACGCATTTGATAGTGTTGGTCTCCAGATCGCCAGTCCATGAGCCATTTCGGTTGAAACGTTTGAATAGTAGGTACAAAGTATAGGACAACCTCAACAAGAAATGCTTTGCTAATGCGATACCTAACGATGTGACGGTGCCTGCAACGCGCTCCACCGCGGTCGCTGATTGGCTGGTATTTTACCCGCTAGGACATTTTGGGCACAACCGTGGGATTGTTCAGCCACCGCCCTGGACTGACCACTCGACCTGTTCCTGGCTTGTTAATGTAGACTCCGAGTCTCCCGTGCAATCTGCTCTGAATGGTGGAATGATGTGGTGTGCATCACCAGAATAGATTCAGGTTCTGGCCATCTGCCGCAATGCTGAAGGAGATGACTATGAAATTTTCGAAAACGGCCGCATCCGTAGTACCGCGGAATACACGCGAGAGAACGATATCATCCTGGGCGTACGTAGGTAGTATCTGATAACTTATAGTTGATCGAGGGAAACCGTGTTAATTGTAAAGGACTTTTTGGCTCCCGTCCGCCTGTATGGGGCGGTGATAAATACAAGCGGGTAATGGTGTCAATGGAAAACTTTAGGATTGACTTCATTAATGTAAAGTCTGATGTTTGGTTACATATCAACGATTTATTCCTAGACAGCCATGATGATAAAGAAAATTCCATAAGCAAAAGGTTCGAGAGTTCACCATCCATCACCTTTCTATCAAACTAGACTATTCGAGGGGGATTGATCTCTCTTCTTCCGTAATAACTTTCCCCAAAGGCTCCATCTCTTTGGAATCCATCGCTTGGGTATTAGAGTCAGCCCCGAAATAGAGATTTTCCCTAGGCGATTAAACTTACTGGGACAAATCTGGACACCATCCATAGACTTCCTGTTAGGAGAACAGACAGAGTCCCAAAAAGCGTATACCACCTCCAATCTGGATTGTCTTTGAGCAAATCCACGTTCATGCCAAATAGACTCTGTTTACTTTATTAGTCGAGGTTATGAAAAATGTTGATCAGTCTTAGCTTCGTGAAACCTGACTCATAGAACATACGGAGGCAAACATCAGAGGAAGGAAAATGAACTAGGGAGGCAAAATGAGTTAGATAACGACGTTTTTCACTCTTTCCCTTCTGATTTGATCTCGAACTTACTGTAACCCAGCTAAGACGTTTGATACTGGCTGCCTCGTTTCTTGAGACCCAGGCAAGTTCCTGTTTACTTAGATATTGTTGTAGGAAAAAGGTTATATGCCATTGAACATACCATTTGCAATAGCTCCCGGACGGCTCGTTCCATGTCGTCCAAACTTTTAATGGCAGACGATTCAATGCCATCAATAATCTCAGTGAGCTTGCTTTGCTTTTCTTCTTTGAGATAATGGTCAGACTTGACCTCGCATCTCAGTCTATCAATATGTGATCGTAGACATTTCCGGACCGTCATCCGTATCGATGCATTGTTAGCAAGCTCATCAATAAATTCAGGGTTCCGGCCCTTTTGCGTCACTTGATTAGCTCGCTAAGATGTTCAAAAATATTTAGTTGTAGCTTTAGCTTGCTTTTGGGAAGATTGAGCATCTCACCAGTCCGTCAATTTTCATGCTGGCAACCGAGCAAGCAGTATTCCATTCGTTCTTTAGATTCTTCAAAAACCGTTCGATAATCTCAAAATCCGAGCTAGGAATGCAGCCATCCGGAAGTATGCTACCCGACAGTCTGCTTAGAAACACATTGACCTTGTCTTTCGACTCCGGTCCTCTGATCCATGCGACACCCCATGGGTCCTGAACTGTTTTGCGGTTTGCAGAAGGGCTTTGGTCTTGGACAGGGAAAGTAACTGATATGTAGTTTACCGCGAAGGCCTGGAAATCTTTGCGGATGTATTGAATATACTCTGATTTGGCCATCTCAGAATTCATATCATCCTCAGCATCGAACTGTCTCGGTACACGAGACCATACGTTTTCCTGCGCACAAAGGCTGAAAGAAAGTCAGAATCAGGAACCGAAATGCCAATGTTATACTCACTATAATGTACGCTGCTCTTTACATAAGAGGAAGTCGCACTCAGGTTTGCGAATCAAATCCCAGTCAAAGTCACCGCTTATGGCTTTTTGAAAGACCTTAACCCAATAAGTTTCCTGATCTGCAACTTTAAACCAGTCATTTGACTGCACAAATTGAAGTTTCGACATTAATTTGAGTAGTCGTCTCGCAATTTCCTCATGCTTTTGCTGCAAAGCGTATTGTAGAGGTGTTCGGCCGGTACGGTCCTTTGAGTTCAGAACTACTTCGCTCTCTAACAAGATATCCACAATCTTGTCGTTTCCTTGATAACAGGCAAGGTGTAAAGGCTTCGTTCCTTCGGCGTCGCATCTCTCCGTAATCCAGGAATCACCCGCCTCGCCGTGGGAACAAAGCGTTTTGACAGTGTTTAACATTCGCTCTTCTCCGAGTTCTCTTTCATAAACTTTTGAATGCCGAATCACGTAGTTCAATGAAAGGTCATCCTTCCTCTGATCTATCATCAATTGCACCAAAAATTCGTGGTGCTTCTCCGCTGCCCAGATCACTGGAGTTCTTGCAAAAGTCCCCGCGGTTTTATCACACTGATTCGGGTTGACATCCTTGTTTTTCAAGAACTGTTTTACAACATATTCGTCCCCATATTCAGCAGCCCAAGACAGCCAGCTGCGTCCAGTAGAGTCTTGGTCGTTTGGTCGTGGAAGGGAGTCTATTAAGTCTCCAAACTCACCGCGAGGAACCCTTGGGGTTTGTTGCTTTAAATTGATTGGCATACGAAAATCAGAATGGAATCTAGCCTTTAGAAACCACCAAAAGCCTGTGCGATGATCGTTATCCTCCAGATGGGGGTCGGCGCCATGGCGAATAAGTAATTGCGTGATAGCAACACGCATATCGCCCGCTGCCAGCGAGAAAGGAGTTCGTCCGTGCGGGTTTGCATGATCCACATTAGTCCTGCTGTCTTCAAGCAGTTTCATCGTCGCCCAGTACTTTTCCTTCTCAATAGCCCAGGCTAGTGGTGTCCGCTTTAGGCTATTGTCATCCTCCATGTTGACTTCTGCCTTTGGTATGAGCAGCTTTATGATTTCAATAGATTCACGCTCCACTGCTAAGGACAATGCTGTTCGTCCTCGTGCATACTGATTCACGTTGGCTGTTAAGTATTTCGAGTCTAACAACTGCTTGACGGTTGCGATATCCGAATCGAGAATTGCGCCTGTTAGGGGAGTCTTTTCTTCGTCATCCGCTAAATTGGGATTTGCGCCTCGTTCAATGAGAAGATTGATAATTATTTGTTTCTTCGGGTGGAACGAGTCTAGATCCACTGCCATCAACAATGGCGTTCGACGGTGAAGATCTCGGTGATTGATATCAGCTGCATTTGCTAGAAGAAACTCCACACACTCTAGATGGCCAAGCTCGGCTGCGAGTGATAGTGGAGTGCGACCCTCGTTGTCCTTCCAGTCAATCAGAGCTCCAGCTTTCTTAAGGCTCTCCATTATTTGGAGTTCCTCTGATTCGACCGCCAAAAACATAGCTGTTCTGTGCTTCCCATCGGATAGGTTCGCGTCTGTTTCCTTTCTTTCCAAAACTTTGTTGAAAATTTCGATTCGCATCGTGGCCTGCCATAAGGGGGATTGTGAAATTTCGCCTTCGCAAAAGTTGACGTCAAAGTCTTCAAGTTTCAAAAACTCTTCTATCTGTTCAAGAATATCGTTTTGCCATGCCCGCAGAACCTTTTTCCCTTTTCGTGGTTTTTCTTTAAGTGCACCAACAAAGCGCGCCTTAATCATGGTAGGATCCAGGGAAGGGGACTCATCGATCGGTCTTTCGGTCATTTTTGCTGTAGTTGTTGGTTCTGGTGTGACAAGGACCTCGAAGCGACAGTGGTCAAATGCGGTCTCTCAATTCATTTATGCTCTCTGAACTTTTCTGACAGCTAAGAAGACGTCTACCACTCATTAAATAGTTCTCCTTCGGCTCAGTAACTGCCAGTTGGCATTGTGATGACGAACCCTAGCCCCGGCATAACTCAAGTGAAATATGACACATAACCGCCATGTTCGTTGTCACCTCGCATACGCGCTGTGTCAGACCACTATGGTCTGGTATTACATTGGCGCTTGGTAGCCTCCACTTACCATTTCCTATGCCCGCTTGGTGCCAATTGCTGCCAGCGCCTCCATATCTGCAACTTGTGTTAAGCGAGACAGAAGCAACCATTCAGTAACGCTTTCTCTTCTTGGGTCCGAAGCTGAGGCAATGTGAAAAGGTAGTGCATCAAATTACTACAAGACCTAGGCAGCGCGAATCGCTGCTGCAGTTCTCGTCTTACTATCACATCGTACACGTGTTCGCCGCATACTGGCACATCCACTCAATAACCGACGCATATTCATGCGCCTAGTGTAAGTACAGTAATGAAATTTGAAGACAAGTAGGCAGGATCCTGATTTGTTGCGTCTATCAATGAGAGGTCAGATAATAAGCCCGTGGGACTGACGTTTTTTTAAGGCTGCGGCGCTAATGAGTCCTCGTTAAAGAAAGCAGATGTAAAATTGAGCATCTGATGAGATCAACGTGATAGAGAGAGTGCGTCTCAAGCTTTTCAGAACGTGGTTTTGAATTGGAAGAGATCTCAGGATGGTACGCTTGTTGCAACCAGCAGCCTTTGCCATGTATTCGCAATGAGCATTTATAGATTAGCGTCGCTTTACGGAGCTCATCAAGGACGAGATATATACTGTTGTAATAGAATGGAGAATACGATGAATGATGCTAGGAAGCTATAGTCAATGCCAACGAGGTTGTTTATGCCTGATCTCTCCTTCATGAAGGAGAGATCCTATTTAATGTGAAGCATTTCCCCTGAACTATCCTATACATGGTAGGTGGAATGCTGATCATGAGCTTCATGCTTTGGCGAAGCGGACATTTAATGCCTGGAGATGCCTGAGCAAGCCATGAATCTCAACATATACCAAAGCAATTTACAGAGTAAACAGAGAGCTTCCTCCCATTCAAAGACACGAATACACGTCTACAGGTGTAAACAAACAGCTACGTCAGAAAATCAACAATAAACGATAACAATACCACAGTACCCGTAAAATACAGGCTATAGCAATGTCGAGAGACAAAAAATAAACCGCATCTCCATGAAGTCGCCCGTCCGTAGGTACTCTAGACGAGCACAATACAGACACCTCCAAGAAAAGAACAAATAAAAGCGGAGTAAAGCGAGGTGATGCAGCCAGAGAAGCTCCCATATCAATCTTGGAATCCAGCAGATGCGCCTACACCACAGAGTCCTCACCCACAAGGAGAGAGGGGCATAGACACTCTTCGTGACTTGTCATTAAGCCATGAAGCAAGCCACGAAGCGCGAATTCCGCACAACTACAAAGTGTAAGAGGAAGATAAAGAAAAAAGGAAGAAGGGGAAGTGAAAGTATTTATAGGAAGAGCGTTTGTTTCGACCCAGTCATCTCCTACCGAAAATGGCGGGAGCCAACGACTGCTGCTCAGCACAAGGAAGGATCAAAAGAAAAGAATCTCGAGTCGTATCTCATTATTCGTCATATGCTACCGCCAGCAAAAGGCAAAAGTCGAACGCAGGTATGCCCCCATCACAGCAGCTTCTCTTGCAAGTCGCGCTCATCGAAAGGGTCCCCGAATTCATCTAAGCATCAAAAGTCAGTACATATACTCCTCAACTCTCGAGGCTTTCAAAAGAAACGCACTTAATGTGAAATCCTTGTCAACAACAAACTCCAGAGCCCGATGGATATCCTCTTGAGCGCGCTTCGACTTCCAAGCCGCAATGCCCGAATCCCAATCCCCAGCCTTATCCGTAACTGAAGCTTTGCGCGCCTCAGTTGAAGCCCGTACATCCGCAAGAGGAACGGTTGTGTGCTGTGTCTGCGAGCCGGGCGGGGAGAGCTCCGTTGCGCCAGCCGATGGAGCTTGGGCGATGCCAGTGGGCGTGCGGGCGCCGTGGCCGCCTTCGTGGCCGCTGTGGAGGGAGTCGACTGACGAGGTCATTTCGGAGTCTCCGTCTAAGTCTTTGGGGTCTGATGGGTGTTAATGATGGAGGATGAAGGAGAGGCGGGTACTGGGTAGAGGTCGAGAGGTAATTGGGTATGGAGCTTCGCTATCGATATCGGGGCCCACTACGCCTTTCTTCTTTTTGTAGGGAGGAAATGGGAGACTTACCCAAAGCCATGAGGAATAAATAGAGGAGATATCTAGAGGGGTCGTATGGAGTGAGTGTAGTTGGAGATCTGTATGTGGGCGGAGATGTTGAAGACAGGCGGTGGCCCCGAGAGTTGTGAATTTTCTTCTTTCCTTAACATTCTTTATAAACTGAACATACAATTATCGTCGCCTTTGAATATTCACTTGTATATTCTTTTCATTCAGGGTTTCTCCGTGTCATTCTTCGTCTTTTCTACCCTGAGCTTTTCCGCTTAACTGTGCTGTCCGTGTGCAATGAGCGCAAACGCCGGTTATGTTCCCGATGCCTGGGAGGATTCGTGGGAAAACCAAGTCGACGTATGTGATTGTGTGCAACTCACCAGCACTCGCCTGTCGAGATTCACGACTCGCAACCCGTAAATGACATACTGATGGCAACTCCAACAGAAACTAGACTCGACGTCTACCCCGCCAGAGAAGAAAGTCTCGTCAAAGGTGACCAAGGCGCAACGCAGAGCGCAACAAGCAGAGTTCAATCGCCAACTATGGGCCGAAGCGTATGAACCCCTTACAACCAATTTCTCACTTCTATCAGCTAACCAAAACCACAGCGAATCCCCCGAAACATTCCACTTCGTCGAAGCTCGCGCCGAGGTACCCCTCAAGCAGGACTTTAAGCCGGCCGTCACTCTACTCAGCCGGAAACCACAGCTAGTTACAAGGCAAACGTCCTCAAGCGGAGTCAACGCCGCAGCAGCCGGAGTCAATCAGCTCGGATTAGACAGCGACAACGACTCCGACGACGAGTCCAAGCCGCCCGAGCCAACACCCGAAGAGCGCCAGGCCATCGCGCTCAAGAACCGGGAAGAGAAGCAGCGCAAGTACGAAGAAGTCCGCGAACGACTCTTTGGAAGTTCCTCTGCTACTGTCTCTGGCAACTCGTCACCGGGGACTACGACCCCGCCTCGTCAGAACCAATCCGGCGAGGGGAGAGGGAGGGGCAAGGGGCGTGGTACTGGGAGGGATCTTCGCGAGAAGAGGGATTCCTCGTCGGCTTCTAGCAAGTCTTCTAGACATCTCTATGACCCGTCTAGTCCCGGTAAATCTAACGCTCCCTTCTCACGGGGAGGAGGCCGGCCGCAGGTTGAGCGGTCTGGCTCTGATACGCCCCCGCAGCAACCTCTGCGTGCTCCTCGAGGCCCAGATGCTAGTGGGAGGGGTGGATTCAAATTTGGCAACAGAGGTGCTCGAACTGGCTAATGTACTTTTTCATTGTTGTCTAGTCTTGTTCACACACTGTCTGGGACACATCCCATCCGGACTCAGGGAAGACCTTCTCCTGAATTGATTGCATTCGCGACCTGTGATGTGTTCGGGCGGTTCTCTGAGGGAGAGTCAGCAAGATGGCAAGGGATGTCAGAGAGGTGCGGGATCTACTCACGGGCATAGCGCTGGTAACTGTCGAGGTACAGCTCATCGGTGCTAGTTGTCGCCTGGACATGCTGGTCGTTTTCAATTGCATCCACCCAAGCCGCTAATCTACTTCCCTCTTCGGCATCTGGCCATTCGCGGTATGGTTTCAGGACTCTTTTCAGCCGGATTATCCATGGCGCAGCTTGGACATCTACAAGATTCATTTGCGCGCCCATGAAAAATGGTCCCTTGGGATGTGCCGCTTCCAGCAACTGGTCGATTGAGGTTCGCAGATCTTGCGCCTTTTGGATCTGTATCTGCTGGTTCTGCTCTTGCAGAACGCGGTAGAAATTCGCCACAATATGCCGATTGATCTGGGGTTATCAGTAATGGGACCATCGAAACAAATATCCATGGATGGCTGTCTACTCACATGGTCTGCCCAAAGTCGGCAGTGAGCACGCAGCTTCGCGTCTCGCGGTAGCAATGCAGTTCCAGTGTTCAAATCCTCGAGCTGTGATGAAATAATCAGCTAGCTGATTGGTATTACTAGCTTTCAAAGGCTCCTCACATATTCCAACAACACATTGCTTTCATAGCATCCCCAGTCACCATCTCGCAATGCTGGAACAAGTCCCCTTGGATTCACCTCCAGCAGGGAATCGGGCTTTTGATACGGGTCCACTTCAATGTACTGATACGGAATACCTTTCAACTCCAATGCAATCCATACCCGCTGCACAAAGGGGCTTAAAGCAGAGTCAGTCAGTATCTACAAAGTAGCTGAAGGGAAATCTCACCAGAAACAACTTCCATAAAGCTTGAGTTTGGACTCGGCGGAGTGTTTGTCCACTGTCTCAGCGGCCAGACCTGTCGCTTTCGTATGGTATGACTTTTGGTCCCGGTCCGAAGACATGACTTGTTCCTAGTTTATATAGTGTTAGAGCGGAAAACCGAAGGAATATTCTCAAGATGAATATTGCAGTGTAATGTGTTACGCTGGTGTGGGGATATCATGGGAAGTCAACGCAGTGACGTAGCATGCGGGGAGGTCCAAGTCCCAACAAATCGAACATACCATTTTATGTCTCTTGTCCTTCGTTTCCCTATTCAGATATCGCTGAACACTATTCTTCTTGACGCGGTCACTCTCCTCTAGTGTATGTCGATGACCACCAGCCACACCATCATTCTTCCCATTTGCGCCGTTACCATTCACTCTTTGGATAGTATAGTATCTCGCCCCGTTAGCACCTGGATGGTTTGGTGGAAGACTGTGACTCGGAGTAATCGTTTGAAACGCTTGACCACTGTTTTTTCTCGTAGATTCCGGGTTATCCAGAGCCCATGTGAATATACCAGGGACGGTTGTTGGAGCTGGAGGTGGAGGAGGAGGAGCAGGAGTCGAGGTTACGGGCATAATATTCGTATTTGACTCTGCTTGAGGAAAGTATTCCACGACTTTGATCTTTACATGGCAAAGATCTCGCTCTCTAGCCGTGCGTTTACGTTTCTTTTTTTCTGGGTTATCCGATTTGGGAGTACCAGGAGGGCGTCCTCTTAGTCGACAGTCCCAGTAATGAGAGACAAACGGTCTATTCTTGTAGCGTTGCGTTGAGCGATGCGAGTACACATTGTCAACGTGCGGAAAATAAGTCTGGAACCTGTATAGCGAAGTGTAAGTCAGTGATCAGTAATATCATCGACACATCGCGCGCAGTGAAGACCATACTCCTCCTCGCTCAAGGTGATCATTTCATCAACGTTGAACAGCCTATTCCGCCAATACTCCAAATTAGGAGGATCCGGGATAATCTTCATACCAGCTTCTTCCGAAGTGGTGCTGAAAGACACCGGACCAATAGGCTCAGCATCTAGCGCGGTAAATTCCGATTGAAACGATTGAGACGGCGACTGGAGCATCGCCAATCCATTATTCTGGGTCGGGTGCGCGATATTGGGATTCCCAATTGCGAGTCCGCTTTGTGACAGTGTCGTCGGCGGCAACATTTGTCCAGCAGCAGAGCCCTGCAAGACGTCTCGCATATGTGCTAGATGCGCGCTACCATCAATCCCATTGTTGAAGTCTCGCGATTGCTCTAAGCTGATACGACCTGGGGCTCCGCCTTGCGGTTGCAGGTGTGGAGCAGCACCGGCGCCGGCTCCATGGCGATCTACATGCGGTTGATGTTGTTGGGCTGGCTGGGGTGTGCTTAGGAAATGATTGACCGCGCCGAGTTGCGGGCGGATGAAGGTGTGGTGGGTATGTGTCACGTTGGGATCGACATTGTCGGGTGGGCGGTACTGGAACGGTTCGAAGAGATTGGAGAGGCTCGGGTTGTTCATGGACATTGCCATGCGCGCAGCTATCTCATCCTTTGAGATGTGGAGCGGCATGCTGCTTTTGAGGTTGGGAGTTGCTCAGTTGCTGAGTGTGGGGGAAAAGCTCGGATCATTCCGTGCTGCTATAAGCAAAAACACGTCCATCATCAATTTCACTGCAACTTGCCACTTTCGACTTAAATACATTATTGACTATCTGTTTGGTGCTATTCCACGTTCAATGCAAATCCAAATATAGCCGAGAGAAACAGGTGGCATCAGGTGTCAATCTAAGCCTACAGGCCCTTCTTGCCTGCATGTTTCTTCGCCGCCTCCGAGTTCTTGAAAGGGAATCCCGTCGTCCTCTTATCTGCACCAGTTCGTCGACTAATCCTGCCATGACTACTAGCAAAGAGCATACACCACAGCCCAACAGCTGCAAGACTCGAAGACCCAGCCACGGCAATGGCAAAAGTGCCTTGTCCACCGGTAACATACCAAGTATAGGCGTAGAATGCACACACGGCGTGGTACACAGATGTGACCATCAGAGTGGGCACGGCGTATGGTGCCTTGGGATCATTCTCGTCAGCTGCGACAGGGTCCTTGATATCGGAGGTTAGAGGAACTGAGCCGGTCAACATCACAGTCAAGACGGTAATTGCGAGAAGACTGAAGCCGAGGCATCGGGCGAAGTAGATCTCCATAGCTTATGGCGCAAATGGTCAGCACGTTTCAAGCATAGCATGAGTGTATGTGACATATCATGGATATAGCTCGGAGAGTTCTGGGTCACGTACAGGAAGCGGGTCGAGTCTCATCCAGTAGCATAGATACTATCATGCTTGGCCCAGCAATCAAGGGTAGGCTTTGAAGCGACAGCCATGCGGCAGTCGAGTACGTGTAGGCTTGAAACACCTTTTAGTCTTTAGCACCTGTTCATTCAAGGGCTGTATTGTATAGCCTTTGGGCTCTGACAGTGGTAACTCACATCCATTTTGCACGGTTCGCTAATAGTTTCGAGAACTTTGAAGCTTGAAAAGATTGGGTTGAATATCAAGAAGAGAAGCTTCGCAAAGGCTGAAGCATTATAGGTGAGTGACGTCAGTTCAAATAACCCGTTTCAATAACCCGTTTGTCCTGTTTGCACACAGGTCGTTCTACAACTATGAAAACAAGTAGGAAGACTAGGTTTTTTTGACTGATGAAATTTATAGAAATGGGTTTAAATGCAAGAAAAAGCGCCTCTAAGACCACAACGCCTTAAGATCAAAAGAGCCCATGGAGATCGATAACCCATTAAACATAACTTCTGTTTCGCAGGAGACTTATTACTCACTGGCCCATTTGGCTCGCGCGCAAATATCTTGTGAAGCTGTTGTCCTGGTTTGAAGGGGCACTCTGTGAACCGGAAAGTGCTTCCTTGTAACGCTGGGAGAGACCCTCATCGTTGCCCGCATCAGCTCCCTCATAGTCTTCATAGTCACTATCAGCCTCGCCATCAGCCAAGCCGCGCTTGATAATATCGTCTTCATCATCTTCGGCCTCACTGACAGTCTCAGGCTCGTGGCTAGGACCTTTCTGTGTCCGTGCGCTAGATCCAGAGACGCTCATATCCTTCATTAGTTTTCCGAGTTCAAGCTCCCGCTGGGATTCTTTCTGCTCTTCCCGCTCCTTCTTCTTGCGCTCCAGCTCGGGTTTGTAATCACGCTCGAACTCCTGTCGCTTGGTTTCCACGGCCTCGAAGAACTCGTCGACACCGTCGCCGGTCATGGAGCTGACACCAACAACGCTCAAGTGGCGGTAGAACTCCTCCAGCATCAGACTCATGCTGTTCAGCAGAGATCCCATGTATCCACTACCGGAGCCGAAGCCGCCAGCACCACCTTCGGTTCCGAAGGCGCCTGCTTCTTCTTCCTGTCGCAAAGCCTGCTGGAATGCATCAAAGTCGGTCATCCATTCCTTGGCAAATTCAGCGTCCTTGACATCGGTCTTGTTGAAAACGAGGATCATGGGTAGCTTGGTCTTGTACAAGATACTGCATGCGTAAAGCATGTTGCTCATAAAGGTACTGGTAGAGCTGGCACGGGGTGTGTCGATGATATATGCGATGACTGTCGGGAATGATGATGCGAGAGTCTCGAGAAGAATACTACCCGAGGCACTCCAGACGAAAACTTCAATTTGGCCAGGGGTGTCGATCAGAATGTGTTCGATGGGCTTTGCGGAAGGGTTTTCGGGATTCGGAGCAGTGCGCTTTTCCAGGAGAGAGATGATTTGGTCGACCTTGGTGGCGAACAGGTTGAGGGAGGTCAAGATGCCTCCGTTGGGGCCAAGGTTGTACTGTTTCATCACTTCCTTGTAGTTGATCGAATCCCGGATATCAATGTTGCTATCGAAGGGCACAGAATGCACCGCTGGGTCGAGGTTGAGGACATATGGCACCGTATTCTTTTCGTGAAGATGGGAGTTAATTCTCTGCATAAACGTCGTCTTTCCTGAGCCTGTTGTATCAAAAATGGTTAGATCTCTGCAGGTAAGTTGGTGATGAACGATTGCATCTAACCTGCCATGCCCACGCAGACCACGGACACCGGAGACGGCATAATGATGGTTTTGACGTGGAAAGACCTGATAAAAACTGTCAAGCTACAAGGTCTGTTGAAATGCAGGCCTGTGGTGGAAGTGTCGGAGATGCGCAAGTGAAGAACGATAAGCTCTTTTTTTTGGCTGAAATCTTTTTGTCGCGGGGAAGATCTGCGCCTGGACCGCCCGGCACTTTAAACGTCATTCCAACTCAGCTTTTTGCTTAGGCTCCATCCCCTTCCCACACCACCACGATGACCTTGGAAGACTTTGAGAAGTCATTGGCTGAGGGAAAAGATCGGCGACACGAAAGAGGCGATCGAGAGCGACGCCATCGAGACGACCGTGATCGCGATCGCGACCGCAGCAAAGACCGCTCGAGGCACCACCGCTCTCACCGTTCAACCCATCACCGGCGGCATTCTTCAAGATCCCGGGAACGTGGCAGCGAACGAGACCGTGAGTCGCGCCACCGCGACGATGATGGCCACCGGCACAAGCGTTCGCGTCACTCTACCGACCAAGGCGAGGAGCACGATCACAAACGTCGACACCGACACGAGGAAGGAGAGCCTTCCGCTGCCAAATCGGTGATCCAAGAGGAGCCTACTAGCTTAAAGCGAGATTCCTGGATGGAAGCTCCTTCCGCCCTTGACGTTGAATACGTCCATCGACCCGACCATACGCAGAAGGAGGAGGGCAAACCGAAAATGCTCGCGGCAGACTACGAGTTGAAGATCCACAACAAGGAGCTCAATCACCATCTACGAGATCTCAGGGATGGAAAAACTGTTGAGGATATAGAGAACGAGCCTGCCCAGCATGAGGTCGACTACACTTTTGGAGACTCGGGCTCCCAATGGAGGATGACGAAGCTTAAAGGAGTGTACAGAGAGGCCGAGGAAAGCGGCCGGTCTGTGGATGAGATTGCTGCCGAGCGATTTGGGGATCTCAGGTCATTCGACGACGCCCGGGAAGAGGAAACCGAGATTGAACGTCGAAAAACATACGGCAAATCTTACGTGGGCAAGGACAAGCCTAGCGGGGAGCTTTTCCAAGAGAGGAAGCTCCAAAATGATGCCAAACGAGGCCCGCTTGAGCATGTACGTGATCCTGAGCAAGAACTCCAAGCCGAGGGCCAAGGCAAGAAAATGGATACTGTGCCTCCTCCAAATACCACCAGGCCCCTTGATATGACAGCATTGAACCGCATGAAAGCTCAGATGATGAAGGCGAAGCTCAAGGGTGGTTCAGATGCCGCCGAGCTTGAAGAAAAATACAATGCTGCTGCGGCGGCGATGTCGAATCGCAAAGAATCTGATGTTGTGGTTCTTGGTGTTATGGAGAACCGAATGCTGGCAGGCTCAAGGAATGAGGTCAAGTCTATCGATACCAAGAGAGGCCGCGAAAGAGGCCAGGTGGAAGCGAATGAAGACATGAGTATCGAAGATATGGTTCGTGAAGAGCGCAAGACCCGTGGTCAACCCGGCGGAGAGGGACAACGGTTGGCAGAGCGAATCGGCCGTGATGCTAAGTTCGAGGTATGTCTTACTCCTTTTCTTTGCGCCTATCATAACTAACACAGCTGTAGAATGACTTGGAGTACATGGACGACAATGCGGCCAAGCTTGCCAAACGAATGCATCGATCTGAAATCGATCTCAAAAACACGACGATTAATGATTTCCACAAGATGAACCGGATCTTGGATAACTGCCCACTTTGTCACAATGAAGATAAGGGCACACCCCCCGTTGCCCCAGTGGTGTCCCTTGCGACAAGAGTGTTCCTCACACTCCCCACTGAACCCGAGATCAGCGAAGGCGGTGCTACCATCGTGCCTATTCAGCATCGCACTAACTTAATGGAGTGTGATGACGACGAGTGGGAAGAAATTCGCAACTTCATGAAGAGTCTCACGCGCATGTACCACGACCAAGGGCGAGATGTGATTTTCTACGAGAACGCAGCCCAGCCGCAACGCAAACGACACGCATCTATGGAAGTGGTGCCATTGCCCTACAGCCTTGGAGAGACATCTCCCGCGTTCTTCAAAGAGGCGATCCTCAGCGCAGAGTCAGAGTGGTCGCAACATCGCAAGCTCATCGATACCCTGGCCAAATCAAAGCAAGGGTTAGGTCGATCTGCCTTCCGCCGAACCTTGGTTAAGGAGATGCCATATTTCCACGTCTGGTTCGAACTCGATGGTGGCCTGGGTCATATTGTGGAGGACGATTCTCGCTGGCCTCGTGGTGATCTCTTTGCTCGTGAGATTATCGGTGGTATGCTAGATGTTGCGCCGGACGTTATCAAGCGGCAGGGACGCTGGAACCGCGGTGACCGCCGAGTTGATGGGTTCAGGAAGCGATGGAGGAAGTTTGACTGGACTCGTGTTCTGGTTAAAGGGTCTTGAAGTTGTTTGGCCCTATCTGTATACCATTGAACTGCATTCAAGTCTATATCTAGCCCTATTGAGCCCCAAAGCGCTCTCAAATTGGATTCACAGTGTACTCCACATGACACCACACAGCACTTCTCTAGAAACTCCTTGGTTCTTCGGGCGACTTTCCGAAGTCATCTCTTGAGGTTCGGCGGGGAAAGCCGATAAGTCTGGCGGGGGGACGCTTCTCGGCCGATGTTAAAATACGATTCTTATCTATGCTTCCTTCGTGTTCTACGACTATTTCCTCTGAGTGAATTTCATCTCTGGTACTTTGGGATTTATCCCCTCAACAACGCACTTGGCTGACCAAACGAACATCACTTGCATAATCTCCCCGGTGAGTTCGAACATGTCAACGGAAGGCGCCTCGGGGTAGCTGCATCCGAAATTGTGTTATTGGATAACAGTGAAACGGAAATAACTTATATCGTTCCAAATCTTCGATTTACTGATCGTCTTCTTGGATACAGAACCAAGCATAATCAAAATGGGCTCTACCAGTGCTAAGCCCAAGGTCCTCCTCCTTGGAAGTATTAGCCAGTATGTCTGCCCCTATCTCGCCTGAGATTGCCAATTGACTGCTAACCCGGGAACAGTGCTTCAACGGCCTGGAGCGCATTGGGTGAACTGGCAGAGCTAATCGAGCCAACAGCAACCAACCGAGCGGAGTTCATCCAAGAATGCAAAGACGGAAAACTAGACGGTGTTGTCGCGATCTATCGGACATTCTCTACAAGCATTACAGGGCTTGTTGATGAAGAACTTGTGAATATAATGCCAAGCTCGCTCAAGTATATTGCGCACTGTGGTACGTCTTCCCCATGCAATATTGAAGGACAAGCCGAGCTGATCTCTGTGCAGGAGCGGGATATGACCAGATCGATGTCCATGCATGCAGCGCACGCAGCCCTCCAATCCGGGTTTCCAACGTCCCAACCGCAGTGGATGATGCCACCGCCGATGTAAACATGTTCCTGATCCTGGGCGCACTCCGCAACTTCAACACGGGTATGAATGCTCTTCGCCAGGGTAAATGGCGTGGTCACCCTGCACCACCCCTCGGCCATGATCCCCAAGGCAAAGTCCTTGGGATTTTGGGAATGGGTGGCATTGGACGTAACCTGAAGAAGAAGGCCGAGGCCTTTGGGATGAAGGTTATTTATCACAATCGCCGCAAATTGAGCGACGAATTGTCTGGTGGGGCTGAGTATGTGCCGTTTAATGTGCTCTTATCTACCAGTGACGTGATTAGTTTGAATCTGCCATTGAACGTAAGTTGTTGTCGAAATGATTGAGATGCATGGTGCTGACGACCCGAAGAAAAACACACGCCATATTATCAGCAAAGCCGAATTTGCCAAGATGAAAGATGGTGTTGTTGTTGTTAACACTGCTCGTGGAGCTGTCATGGATGAAGCTGCTCTGGTTGAATCCCTTGATAGTGGCAAGGTGTTTTCAGCTGGTCTCGATGTCTTCGAAGAGGAGCCTACGATTCATCCCGGCTTGCTCAGCAATCAGAATGTGATGCTAGTGCCTCATATGGGTACTTGGACTAGTGAGGTAAGTTTTGAATGCTTCTGTGATATTGTCATAATGCTAACTAAGTTAGACTATCCTCGCTATGGAAGAGTGGGCTATTGAAAATATCAGCATGGCTCTTCGGGTTGGAAAGCTGAAGAGCCCAGTTCCAGAACAGGCTGATCTATAGATACTACGGCGGTGCAAAAGGTTAGATATTTCAATGTTTATTCGTTCAAGACATAGATACAGTGGGAGACAAACAATAAGGGTACTGTTAGCAGAAATGCTCCCTCTTTTCGGTACTATAAGCTAGAGTCAACCGAGGAGTCTTGCCTGGAAAATGATTTAGTATGGAAATATGACTTGTTCTAGTTAGATTCAAGGAAACAATGCGACAAAAGAAGAGAATTTGTGTTGAACTTTTGTAGAGGCCTAGGACTAATTAGTATACTGCGGGAGCAAGAAGAGAGATATATATAGCATGATATAGTCAGTAGACGGGTGCCTCTCGCGCATCGTAGAGATTCTAAAAGCCAACTAGCTCTCACACGAGTTTTAACAACCTAAAATAAGTGATAGGAGGTGGAAATGTTGTAGTTAAATAGTCCAAGGACTTGATGGCTTAAAAAGGCACGAATTTCCTTTTTGGGACTAGACCGAGAACTTCCCATCTTATCAGACGTCACTCCAACTTCTCTTCACCTTCTCCAACATTCTGCCATGGCTGAACATTGGAAATCAGCAGTGAGTTTATTTCCCTAAATGTTTCATTGACCTGTGCTAATCAGTCCGCAGCCGCGCTACTGGTGCAAGCAGTGCAAGATCTTCATTCGCGACACACCCTTCGAAAAGACCCAACACGAAGCAAGCCCCAAACATCAAGGCAGCCTCAAGCGCTTCCTCAGGCAAATCCACAAAGACAATGAACAACAACAGAGAGACTCACAACGGGCGAAAAACGAGGTTGAGCGATTACGACAGGCCGTCGGCGGCGGGTCCGTGTCGGACAAGGACGCCGCACCGCCATGGAAACGAAACACGCAGCCAGCCCCAAAGCCCGCAGAACGTCCCGCTACATTAGAAGAGCGAAAGAAACAGATTGCGCAGCTTGCGGAAATGGGAGTTGCTGTTCCTGAAGAATTCCGCCGTGACATGGCCTTGGCCGGAGATTGGCAGACCATATCCGAGACAAAGATCGAAGCCACGCAGGGAATCGATGGCCCCACAAAGTCAGTTGGAGTGCGGAAGCGCAAACACGAAGGTGAGGAAGAGGAGGACGACGAACATGCCCCAGAACCAATCGTGAACAAGGGCTGGGGCTCGAGGATGAAGCAATACCCCGGCGCGCAGGATGACGAGGACCTGGATGACCTGCTCGCATCCACTAAAGACATCAGGAAAACGAAAACTTTTACGCCAAAGGTTGAACTCGAAGGACAGGAAACTACCACTGAGGAAGCCGATGCTACTGCTAAGTCTACTGCTAAGAAGGAAGACGAGTCCACCAAGCCGGAGACTCAAGAGACCACCACAACCGAGGTCAAGACCGAAGAACCTGCGCAGGTTGCAGAGCCGGCCGAAGAGAAACCACAGAACGAAGACGCTACACCCGGAGTTGTTTTCAAGAAGCGCAAGCCTAAAACAATGAGAAAATGATGCCTCTGAAGAGGATGAGATTTTCGAAAATCACACTTGTCAAACTTACAAGCCCGTGTATGCCCACACCCTTGATCATCAAAACCATGGAGTTTGGATCATGTAACATTGATTTATAACCCCAGTTCTGCAACTGGTTTCTAGCACCAGACAAAGCGAGACTGACGAATGAGTCGTTGCTGCTAGCAGGTTCGAATGAAGCCACAGGGGGAAGGAAGAGGGTTCTCACTTGAGGCTCAAGTAGATGATTGTTAGAATGGAAGACTTCAAGCTACGAAAAGTAGAAGAAAGCATCAGATGCACATTCATGGGAGGATGAACCGTGGATTCCAGTGCGCTTGGTCAAGGTGATTAGAAGAATCTGCTATGATATAGTGCCCCTAAGTGAATTATGAAGCAAGTTCAAGCAAGTCAGGAATGTGGTAACAATGGCGCCTTCAGACAGAGCAATAACAATAGCCTAGCAAGCAGGGGTCATTGATATTAACTTATGTGGAAAGACTCAAGGTAACCTGGTCCCCGTTTCTTCGCCGAATAGACTCTATAACATCATCCATAGACGTCGTCAACCCACCGAAACATTCTTGTGCATTAGCCCCCACATAAAGGAAGACTCCACCGTAGAGTAAATCCGTTCAAATCAATTTGTCATTTGGAAGTAGACTTTCCCTTGGTTGGAAACCCTAAATCTAGCAGAATGTTCTTTCCCTCTCACCACGTTGGCCTACGTAAACATGACAAATAACTGCTATTCTCCAAATTGTCTTACACGAACACCTCGAGGAATTTTACTTTCAGACTCATGGTGTAGACGCCGTCCTCGGTTGATCAGGAAGAAGATATGTAGATGGTCAGTCCATCAGCATTTATATGTAACTTGAATGTTGCTGACCAGGAGGCAGATGATCATGGATTGAAGTCCATTGGAAACAGTATGTAAGGTTGAAAGGATAAACGACAATCAATGTCTGCCTGGATAATGGGTATCAAGCTAATATATCTCTTTCCTATTTCTAACCTTGCTTTCTTTTCTCTCCACCCTTATTACTGATTGCAAGTGAGTGACGCACCGCCGAATTTGACTCGATACTATAGTAGGAAATTCCATCATTTATGTAGCCACGGGTCTTAGCTTGTTTGCAATGTTTGTAACCTAACTTAGGGCCATAGACCCAGGGCTGGGTTGGGCCCTAGTTGGGTCCGGGTTATACTGGTCGTGGGAAGTTCTATTTGGGACCGCCATGCACTACGATATGAAACAGACAAGAATTGTCCACAGTATCGCTTCGTCAAATAGGCAGCAAAGGCAAGCCTCCAATTGGCTGTCAACGCCGATCAGCAAACCATCCAGATGGTTCTTGTGAAGTTGCTTAATAACCTCCAACCCTAAGTCGATGCCTGCCATGCCAGCCCGCATAGGAAACAACTCCTAGAGCAGAAGCGCAAGGCGGACGAAGAGCGAAAAGCGGGACTTGTCGAATTTCTGCAACAACACCGTGAGGAATGGGCAGAGGTGGCAATGAACAAAGACGAATATGTTTATGTTGCATGAATCCGTCGTCATGAGAGAAAATATTCCAAGATACGCCTTGTGCAACCATCGGAACCATTGCTTCTTCAGGCCGTTAGTTGGACCTCTACATCTATGGCCTCCTTGCAAGTAGACAACACCACTAGGGCAAGTTTTAGGTACCGAATATGCGCTCTTTCTCTTACACATCGTAAAGGAATCGAGAACCATATTCGATCTCTGTTTGTGGGTATACTCAATCTGATCCCAATTTGGACCCTGGAAACTAACTTACCAACGTTCCGACATGTAGGACCGCTCATTTACTTTGTTGCCTTAACAGTCTGGTAGTCACCAGTGACGTTCAGGAACCCACTCGCCAAGCTTTAATGATCTTCAGCTAGAGACAGCAGATGTTTTAACACTATTGGACAGACCGTTTTTTAGACCTCTTTTTAGACCTCTTTTTAGACCTCTTTTTAGACCTCTTTTTAGATAGACCTCTTTTTAGACCTCTTTTTAGACCTCTTTTTAGACCCCCTATCGTAAACCGAAAAGTATGTCTATATCATCTTACTTTCTAAACGTTTCTGCTTTAGTGAGTGCTTTTTATAGAAGATAAGATTCAACTATCACGGCGTGGCGTCTAGGGTGCGCACGCGTACAATTGTGCGTACTAAGTAGGATATGTATCGGTCCTAGGCCTGACGGCTAACATAATGGCCTTTTTAGCCTAGTTGGTAGAACCTTCTCCACGTATTTTATCCGCAACTTCTGTCTCTCAACAGCCCAACATGCAATCCCCTCTGAAACCCAGTCTCATCTCCAAATCTGATCCGGAGGACTTTTTCCCCATGCTGATCACCAACTGCGCTGAAAAGTTTGTGGATCAAGCGGACTTCGAAGCACACGTTCGCGGAGCAATCAAAAGGGCATCACGCCCTCAGGTGTTGATGTTTACAAAAGTTAGCTCGTCGTGGGGCAGAAAGACATTTGATTCGATTGAGGACGGTCACTCAGGCCGGCAAGTCCCAAGATACATGTCCTCCCCAGCTGGGTCGTACTAAAGGTTGATGTTACAGAAAATCATACAACTCCGAGACCCAAATTCTCCGGGTGACGATCAAGAGTGGATCCCTGGTCAGCTTCGCCATATGACATGATCGGGCGAAGATATGGCCAATTCGTTTCAATCTCGGATACCCATTGCGAAATAAGAGTGGATGGCACTAGCAACAGGGTTGGCTTGTTCGTTCTCGCGAGAATGGTAAGTAGAATAAGCTTCGTCTTTCCGAAGCCGGTCAAGTCCGCGCAAATTGCGGCATGCAACCTCAAATGCTTCAATCTGCCAGCCGCCTGGATGACCCGTTTGCCCTCTGAATCCTTCCTGGAAATCTTGGCCCACTTCAAGAGCACAACAGGATCAATGTTGCCGAGTAACTTTATCAAGAGGCCAACTGCACCGTTGATCTGATAAGCAAAGAAGTCGCACTTTGTAGAGATTCCCAGACGTGCTCACAAAGCAAGAGGTTCAGGCAGATGTCAACAGGGGGTCCTGATCGTGCTGGCGTTCCACCGAATGCATTCTGTAAGATGAAGTGTTCTTTTGTGACCTATATCTTAAGTTAGCAGAATGTTGATCAACAACTGACAGTTTTAGGGGAACGGTACCGATGAAGATTCCAGCTGGCTCTCAGCGGTGTGATGAGCGGCTTGGTGGGCTTGGTAGAGGTTCTCGGCAGCCTCCGGTGAGATGAATTGCGCCTCATCCACACCATCCTTTCGACTCACAGGTCGGATGACTGACAGCATGCTTTCGATGGTCGTGATCTGCCATTTTCTTCGGCCGTACTCAGTCTCCACGTTGTAGCCACCATAAGCCATCTGCTCAGCTTTCGTAAGGAAGGTCTTCGGTCTAGCCTGCACCTTGGAGTCTTTGGAAATCTTCTTCATGAAAAGCAAAGATGCTTCAAGGCCCGCATCTTCTTTTTCACTCTCTTCCTTGCTGTACTTGGTAGCTGGTCTTGCCGAAGAAGGTTCGGGGGTTCCAGGAATACTATCTGTCAAAATAGGCAGGAGTAGTCCGGGAAGCAACTCGTCAGACTCCAGGATAGAATCGTCTATCTGATCTTCACTTCGTGCACGCAGTCTCACACCCACGATGAAGTTTGTGTTGTCCGGGTCATTGAATTCAGCTTTCATCTCATCCCATTTGGTGTTCTATGGGTCCATATAGAACACTCGACCCTTCAGCCCCTGCTGTACTAGATGACCCACAGGGGAAGAAAGCAATGCTCATTTTCGATGGCAATGGGATATCAGATAGACCATGAAACTAGGAGGATCGGAGTGATATTGTGTTGAGGATACCCACAGTGCGAGGTGAGTAGCTGGAAAAGGGATATGGGACTGTAATGTATGAGAAACGCACTGAAGATCTCCCACGGGTTTGAGATGACACCCCTGGCAGCAATCATATGATATACAGCCTAAACGATCCCTTGGGGTCATTCTTCAAGACAATCTGTTGTAGCCGGTGTGAATCTGGTTTGAACAACACTTCTTCTAGCGAAGAAGAGACCACCTGAACGAATAAACCGTTGATTCTGTGACATTGTATCAACGTCGTGATCTTGAGGTACAATACACAGCTTCCATAGAGCAAACGGGCAGCAGAATAGCAGGGCAATACTTTAAAATGCTAGCTGAGACCAAAGATGATCAAAATAAGAATATAAGAATTCAACATGAAACGTAAATGCACCAAAAATAGAGTAAATAACAAACATTGCATGAAGTTGGGGTAAAAGCGGTGTTGCCACTATAATTTTTTTTCTCGATCGCAAGAGCGGAGAGTTTCATCGCCGGAAAGGAAAGCTCCTTTAGCCTCTTTCGCGCTTTTCCTAACCTCCAACCACCAGATCAGCACTGTCTGCGACTAGTGCTTGATTTGTTCTTATAATATTAATATATTGCCCTGGTAAGTCTTTGCAATTCACTATCATCATCCCCGCAGTCCTGCCAGTCCGCCTGGTTCTCGTCGACATGCGCATCCATTCTTTCGCGCCGGAGCCTCACGCCACCCTGTCCCACATCCTGTTCGGTATTCCTGCTATCGAAAGAGGCCATTGGAGTCTAAAATCTGCCTCGCGATGTTTCCCGAGACTCTGCGGGGGCTGTGAGCAGAAGCGGTTGGATTTGAGGCAGACTGGGTCTCGAATGCGAAGTACAAAACCTCGATCGACTAGCATCATATTGGAACATGTGGCTCAGGAGGGTGTCGTATCGCCCTTCTTGTGGTCAATATCGCTGAGCCTTCACACTTGCGCTTGGGACTATGTCCTAGATATGGTCTGCACGTTTGATTGGGCTTTATTGCATTTCTACAACACGAGGCACGGCGCAGAGAGAAATTCTTGCACAAAAGAATTGCTCTCAAGTTATGCTCAGATGATTGACATGGCTTCTTTTCTTACCGGAAACTGTTGTGCTTCGCTGCAGGACTTGACTCTGGGATCGTTGACCAACTGAACATTGGCTAACCAATGCTAAACCCCACAGATTCGAGTGAATAAATGATTTCCAACTCTCAGTCCGACCGATCTGGTTTGAATTTCTCGCTCAGCGACAAACCAGACGACCTTTGACCACGAAATCTCGGCCTTTCTTCGAGTCGCTGCCCTCGAGTCTACTGGTAAAATTCGATCCGACTATTTCATCCGATCGTAACTACGAAATTATATTCTTTATTGAGAGGCTGCGAAGCTCAACATGGCGGCGGAGCCGACGGACTCAAGTGTCCCTCCTGGTGAATCGGCCAACACCGCGACCGAACCGAATGCGCCAGCGGAGACAGCCCAACCACCAGCGCAGAACGAGCCGCCTTCGGCGGAACCGAATCAATATGCCGAACCAAGTCAAGAGCTAGCATCGTCCTATGAACAACCTGCAGAACCACGCCCATCCACGGGCCCACCCCAGACTGTGAATACAGATCAACCTTCGGAGGAAGCCAGCCAGCCAGCGCAAGCGCAAGCGTCCGATGTCACGTTACCGTCGATTGAATCATCGCTTCCTGCGATAGATTCGTCCCTCCCAGCTCTGGATACATCGCATGGGTTTGACGATGCGGACTTGCACTCCTTCGACGAATTACCTACAATCGGCTCATCTGCGGCGCAAGACCTATCACTACCGGCAATCGATACGACTCTGCCCTCGCTCGACCACTCCTTACCAGCAATTGGAACCGACATCCCAACAATGGATGGAGACCATTCCTTTGACAACAGCCATCTGGACCACCACGATTCCCATTCTGGTCTTCCGGACACTGGACACGAGACGAGTCAGCACGAGACAAATGGCGGTCATTACCAACCGCCCAATGGTACATATCAATATGCGCACAATCCCGCTCAGCCTCAAGGACAGCAGCCATCGCAGGCGCATTCCCAGCATCAGTTCCAGGCGCAGCCTCAACATTACCAGAATACCGACATGTATCACAACTCTGGTCAGGGACAGGTTCCTCAAGCACCGATCGGATCACCACTCCCCAACAACATGCCTCCAATGACTTCCATGGGCTACATGACTGGATATCCCTCCAACATGGGACAAGGGAATGCGCAGATGCGGTATCAGCTGCCCGGAGACCCCAACAAGATGCTATCGGGCAATAGACACAAGAAAGAAGTCAAGCGACGCACAAAAACGGGTTGTTTAACCTGTCGCAAACGAAGAATCAAGGTGAGTGGCAAGTTGGCAAGTTGGCAAGTTCGCAAGTTTGTAGTTTCGCGGGGCGGAGTCTCGCTTGTGCCCGCACCCCGCCTTCGATTTTGTCAAATCCACCGCAACTCGCCTTTTTGCGCCTTTCATTTTTTTACTTTGACCAAGTCGCTAATTTCAATTCTGCTTAGTGTGACGAAGCCCATCCCGTGTGCAGAAATTGCGTCAAAAGCAAACGCGAGTGCTTGGGCTACGATCCTGTGTTTAGGACCCAAGCATCAACTCCTTCGGCTATCCAGCCAGCTCCTAATCCCCCTCCTTCGCTTGTTGTCAACCCCCAGGGCCCTTCTACTATACCAACGACACCTTCCTATCCTTCCGCACCCCCAGGGTACATGCCCGCTTCTTCTCAACCATTTGCGCCCTCTCTCCACTCCGAGTCACCATCCGTCTCTAACGATCACCACGAGCACGGAGCTACCCTTGATCCTTCGTTGGACCATACAAATCATACAGACATGCAGAACGCCGTGCAACGCCCACAGGGCGAGCCCTCATACAAAGGTGAGTTCAAACTGGCACTGCGCAGGTTGAATGTGAGCTAACGGTATATTCTAGCCAAAAACCTCCATGTCAACGACCTCTTCTCACTGAGGGGAATTGCCCCTCCTCCCCCTCATCCTGTCGCAACTCTACCCCCTGGTCGTCTCGAAGAAATCCAGGCGGTCTTCCTGGCTACATACGCACCTGCCATCGACAAACTTCTCGAAATTCGTTGGTATTCAGAAAAGGCACTCTCGTTCCTCATGGCCGACTCCCAGCTCATGGCTGATTATTCGGCTTTGATTGATGCTTTCAACGAATGGAATCTCCAAGATGGCGAAACACTTGCTCGTCTAGAAAGCTTCGAGGCATCGATCATCTGGAAGAGTATGGCGCTGTGTCGCCAGGTTCCCGATGCAGAAAGTGGACAACAAGGGCGTGACTGGAACCTATGTGTAGCATGCGCTCGGTTGAACGTTGTCGAGGCATTGCTCACATGGAACCACCTGGACTCAAACCCCCTATCACGGGAGCTCGTCATGGATGCCGCCAACCCCCCAAATACCCCGGATCAGTTCCAGAGCCGCCAATTGGATTTCTGGGACCAGGTTGGAGAATTCCTCACGCTTTACGACAATGAAGCAAGCTCGGCCAAGCAGATCGATGACACGCTGAGTCGGTGCCGGCAATTGCTGGATACATACGAAAACCGCGACATCATCTACTCCATCACCGTCGCACGCCATCTGGGACAGCGCTGGGCCGATTTCCCCAACAGCTTGCCCAAGGTGGGTTACACCACCGAGAAAGAGGCAGGAACCAAGCTCTTCGTTGCGCAAAAGTTCCTCGAAGAAGAAGCCGAGGGCAAAGGCACAACGCAAATTTACAAGCGGGTTTGCTGTATGGCAGTTCGCTCGTGGTGGGTTGCCCGTGGGTAAACCATTACCTGCATCGCCATTCTTCTTATTCTCTTTTGCATACGTGTTTCCCCGCTACGGCTATTACACATTCGATCCTGCCTCGCAGAGGGTCACATCTTGTTCTTTTGCGAAAAAAAGCATCATGGTTCAGGCGTTACGTTTCTTTTTCTACTGAATGATACGGTTCAATTTCCGTTTCCGATTTTCTTCGCTTCTACGGGGTTAGGGGGACTGGGCAGCGAGTAAAGCACCTTGGCGTTTCCGGCCTTTTCTTCCACCTGCTTGTGTGAATATTTCTGTATCTAGCCTGAGTTCCATACCCTGTAACAGGTCTAGGCTACGGCTAGATGTGTTACTTCGAACAGCAAAAAGAGTCAAATATTCTAATCCTGTGCATTTATTTGCTGTAAACGTAGATGTAGATGCAGAGAATACCCCATCCTATATTCAAGAAGTAGCTTCCAAGGGCACTTCAACCCGAATCCTGACTTCTGCTTCACCCTGAAACAAGAATCCAATATCCCTCGTCGAATCAACCAACTCAACTTCCCGGCGTACAAACCCACTATCTGGGCCATCGTGCTTCTGAAGCACTGTGTCCTGATCTGCCAGAGCCTCATCCTCACTATCATCCCAATCAACAGCCTCAACATTCTCCTTCTCTACAGGATCCCACTCATCCGTCTCCCAAACAAGCTTGAACCCAAATGCCGGGAGCCCAAAGAGCCGCGAGACAAGCGCTTTGACTTGGTATGTATCGAATGAACCCGGAATCTCCTTTGTGCGGACTTCCGATGCATCCTCGCTGTTCCGGGATAGACGGAATGCCATTTTCACTAGTCGTGCTGCTACGGACCGCGGGTGAATGACCCTTGAACCGGAAATAGAGATGACAGCTCTGGTAATGGTGGGCTCGGCGTATAATTCGCATAACTCGCTGTATCGCGGATGTGTGGCTAGGATGGCGGGTTCTTCTGCTTCGGCTGTTGCGGAGAGTTCTCTCCCGATGAGGGAGAGGTAGTACATCTCTGCGTTTGAGCGGTCTGTTGGTTTGATGGTGCTGTAGTTTAGGGTTGTGAGGGAGGGCGGGAAGCGGGAGAGGGTTAGCATGAAGGCTTCGTCGACGGTCATTGGTTTTGAGGGTTCTGTTGTAGCTGTGACGGATAGTGGGAGGGGTGGTTGGTCGTAGAGGGGGTTGTCGGAGATGCGAAGGGTTGTTAGGCCTGGAAAGAGGGTGGGCAATTTGTTGAGGAATGCCCATGAGGCGATTTTGTTGCGGGAGAGGTCGAGGGAGTGGAGGGTTTGGGGGAATTGGAAGTCCATGGTGGTTGTGTCATTGTTCACGGTGTTGATGGCATTTCCTCGGACAGAGAGATGCTGCAGGTTTGGGAGGGCAGCGAGATGCCGGAGAGTTGATATTGAGGTGAACTCGTTGTGCTCGAGGGTTAATGTGGTTATGGTGTTGGGAAGTGGACGGGATATCTCAGAGAGCTGGTTGGCTGATGCCGTGAGAGATGTTAAGCCAGGGAATTGGGATGTGACAGCAGCAATCTATGATAGTCAGCTCGTATTTCATGCAGATGAGCGTAGCGCATACTTCATCCCAACTTAGCAGCGTATCTTCTAGATGCAGTTCAGTGATCCCCTCAAAGATCAGATCATCCAAAGCTTGGAAGCGGTTTCCACTATCGCCTGGTTAGACACATCCTGGAATCATATGACAGAGGCTTTAATTACTTCAACTTCAACCGTTTCAGGTGCTTAAGTTGGTTGCAAATCTCCCATACGTCGCGCCACCTGCTCAACAAACTTCGACTGAGATCCAATTCGATGATCTTGGGACAAGTTTCAGCAATCTTTTGAGCTGCATCTTCATCTTGAACCTGGTCATAGGACGAAAGCACGCCAACAACTAGGAGGCTATCGAGCAAGACAATCCGCAGCTCTTTGAGTTCCGCGAGTTGCTTTCGGATCTTGTCAAAGCCAACTTCTTCAACGACTTTGCCGCTGATTTCAATTGCCTTCTTGCGAGATGATTCGCTAACAGTCAAGCATGAAAGATCTTCAAACTCAGAAGCGTACTTCTCTCGCAAGGCTTCGAGGAAGCTCCGGGGTTGATCTGATGGCCTGGAGGGGCGAACGAAAGACCCCGCCGTAGGCTGGTTGCTTTTGCCTAAAACCGAGTTAGCCAAATAGCCTTGTATACAGTTATACCAACTCACATGAGAAATATCTGATTCCTTTATGCTCTCCTGAATGCTTGCCCCGGGTTGCGTCGTCCCACTCGACGCCCAACCAGTCGCCTGTGGTCCCTTGAACAATGCCCACGTAGCGAATGGTACATAAATGACCATCGAAAGACCGACGTTGGCCTACAATTGAGGCGCTCATAGCTCCAACAGACCTGAGGTCTCTTTTGTTTAGGAGAGTCCGCTTTCTACTGTGATATCCATGGATGGAAAAGATCCGCTTACCTAATCTCCAGGCCCTTCGAAGCTGGGCCGATTTGATCTTCATCAACTTTCTTAAAGCGACTGTGCCGACATCATGGATTACCAGGTAAGTCACCCTTTATCACCCGGAGCAGTCAAATGAACCCACCATATCAGCTCAGTAAATATGATGCTAACACGCGCCCCAGAACCGCGCAGGCTCCAAATTCGGCGGCGGCGGCGTCGCCTCCCAATCCGCAACCAACGCCGACCGTCGCGAGCGACTGCGCAAGCTCGCGCTCGAATCAATCGATCTCGACAAAGACCCCTACTTCTTCAAGAACCACGTCGGTAGCTTCGAGTGCCGACTTTGCCTAACAGTCCACCAAAATGACGGCTCCTACCTGGCCCATACGCAAGGCAAAAAGCACCAAACGAACCTCGCCCGCCGAGCCGCGCGCGAGCAGCGCGAAGGCCGGAACCAGGACCCTTCATCTTTGCCCGGTGTTATGGGCGTGCAGGTCAAGAAGCAGTTGATCAAGATTGGCCGGCCCGGATACAAAATCACCAAGATTCAGGATCCCCTGACTCGCCAGCTTGGTTTGCTATTCCAGTTGCAATACCAGGAGATCACGCCTGGTGTTGTACCCCGCGTCCGTATCATGTCGGCTTTTGAGCAGAAGATCGAGGAGCCTGATAGTCATTATCAGTATCTGGTTGTTGCTGCGGAGCCGTACCAGAGCTGTGGGTTTAAGTTGCAGGCTAAGGAGATTGATCGTCGGGAGGATCGGTATTGGACTTGGTTTGATGAGGATAGCAAGGAATTCTGGGTGCAGATTATGTTCAAGACTGAGCGTGAGGAGCGGTTCAGTGGTGTGCCTGGTTTGGCGCCTATGCGGGATTGATTGATATTTTCTCTTCGCTATCTGCTCTGTCTTTCGGATGACAAAATATCGTTGTCTCTGTCTCTATGGTGGGAATTCGGACCAGGCGTTTGGGGGTTCCATGTGCATAATGTTTACCTCGAGCGATTGACTTTTATGGCAATTGACGTTCTACTTATGATGGCAATGCCATCTACAATACTTACAAGATATTTCTTGTAGACATTCCGTACAGCAAGGTTTTGAGAAGTCATGTTCCTTTTCTTGACTCTACAGCTTTGCTTATAGTACATGTATGCATAGTCTGATCATTGTAGGAAAGTTACAGTCACTACAATAACGATATATCGCCTAAAAATAGAGTCCATTTGTTCTCTCGGGGGACCCTATCCTAGTAGATCAAGGCTAACTAGGAACTGCTCGTAGCAGGATACCCCCGAAAAATAGTATGCGTGCCTCGGAAGAAAATGCAGGGCGTTAGATATCAACAAGTGAAGCCAAAGGTGGGTCATGATTCAGGAAAACATCGCGCTGATATGCTCAATGATAATGTGTAGAGACGAAAACAAAACCAAGTATTCTCTGGTCGACAAAACAGGATGCTTAAAAAACGGATGCAAGCCCAGCCTGCTTCCTAGAATCTTCCAGCATCAATCGATCAGTCTCGGATTACGTGCGAGCCTAGTTACTCTGGAAGGCGTTGAAGGCCTTGTAGGTGTAACCAATGAATGGCAGACTCATCTCGGCTTCCTGTGAGTCCGGCATGGCACGAGCCTGGGCACGGTGGATGGCGCTGGTATCCTCCTGAGGGATCTCATCAATGGGGAAGTATGACACATCGATGTTGGAGCTGAGGCGTGGCTCGAAGGGAGCGCGAATGCTCCGCAATTGATCCCAGACAACTCCTCTGAAGAAGGGATGGTTCTTGATCTGTGATGCGCCTCCATGCTGGCCACCATCGCTGCCGATACGGTGGTCGGGGTCACAAAGGAAACTAGAAGAGTTAGCAGATATTCCCTTTTTACCTTGGGAGAAAAAGCTTACCTCCGGATCAGGGACTCGGAATCACGCGAGAGAACCAGCTCATCAGGGAAGTACAAGCACTCTCTCCAGTTGACGATCTTCCGGTAGGTATCGGTTGTGTCCTCCGCACAGAAAGGAGGCCAGCCAACCAGACATTCGAACATGATAGCACCAACAGACCACCAATCGCAAAGGTATGTATATCCTTGGCCGTTGAAGATTTCAGGCGCAATATAATCCGGAGTTCCAACAGTCGAGTAGGCCATGGCACGACGGGACTTTCGCCAGGTGTTGATTTGTCCACGGTTGGATACCGTGAGGTTAATCGCATCATTAAAGTAACCAGAGTTGCGGTTCCGGTCCTTGGAAGTAGAGTTTTTGAGAAGGTTCTGGTAATAAGCGTTATCGTGGGTCTTTTTGCCTCCGGTCGAAAGACCAAAATCGGTAAGCTTGACGTGACCACCGCGGTCAAGCAAGATGTTGTCGGGTTTGATGTCACTGTCCGTTTGTCAGTATTCATTTGAACAAGTTGCGCATTGGGTCACTTAGGTCACCTACCGGTGAAGGAAGCCAAGCTTGTGCACAGCCTCTATTGCCATCACAACTTCGGCCATGTAGAAGCGGGTGATATCCTCGGAGAAGATCTCGTATTTGATCAACATGGTCATCAAATCACCACCAGGCAAGAACTCCATCAGCAGGTAAAGATACGCAGTGTCCTGGAACGAAGCGTGTAGCTTGACCAGCCAAGGGTTGTCCTTTGAATCCGCCAAAATATCACGCTCAGCACGGACGTGGGCGAGTTGATCCTTCTTGAACATTTCCGTCTTGATCAAAGACTTGAGAGCGTAGATTTTGCCATCGGTCTTGCGCTGCACGAGCTTGACCTCACCAAAGGCACCCTTTCCAATAATCTTGATAGTCTGGAAGTTGTTCGGAGTCTCCTTGGTGCGTAGGAATCGAAGGAAGTCGGATTCTCTTTTTGAGATGACATCGGCATCCTGGCGCTTCTTCTCAATGGGGAGGTTGGGGTCACGAATTGTCTTGTCGAGTTCCGCCGAGCTGCAAAAAAAAGGTCAGAGCAAAGCAAAGCTTCACACGTGTGTACACTTACCGCATGTTACGGTCACGGGCCCGCTCAATGTTCTCGTGGAAGAACACAGTCACAAGCTCCTTCGCGGCCTTGCCCCGCTTGTGCACATTCTCTGAGTACCGGTCGGGGAAACGTTGCAATTCCTCATTCTCAGAGGGGGGTCGAGGGCTACGGGGCACTGGGGGAATCAGGTGAGAAGCCGGGGCCGGGGCCTGGGCTGGAGAACCACCAGCGGTGCGAGGCCGCTGGGCTGGCGATGCAGCCCGATTGAAGAAGCCTGCTCGGTTCGCATTGAGGTCCTGGTTAGAAAATTGCTGGATCAAGCCGTTGGTACCGTCATTGGCGTAACCCATGCGTTGTTGGTAGGCGGGTTGGGGCGATTGCAAGGCTTGCTGCTGAGCGTACTGCTGCTGTTGCTGCTGTTGCTGGGCATACTGCGCCTGCACCTGAGGTGGGTAGGGTTGAGGCATGAAGTAACCCGGTGCATACGCTGGGTTGGAGGGATCGACATAGTCCTGAGCCCCCTGAGTCTGATAGATGGGCTGGGGAAACGCGGAGGGAGTGGTGGGATAGGCACGGTTGTTGGCATTGCCATTGTAGTTACGGTCATTGTACCCGTAGTTCATGTTGTTCCTGTTATTCGGATCCATCTTGACAGGACGGGGAAGAAAGGTGGATGAGAAAGAAAGAAAGAGGGCGGGGAGTAAAGAAGCGGTGGCTCAGGAGGCAATCTAGCCCCTCCAATCAAGGTGACTGACGGGTTTACTTGATTTGTTCGATTTGACCTGAAACACGATGTGCTGCGAGTTTGTGATACTTCGAAGAGTTTCTAGGGCGCACGAGCAGGTGGCTAAACAGTTCTAGTGATAATTCACTGCCAATATTGAAGGTCTTAAGGGCTACGGGTAGCTATACCCCAATCTAGTGTGACTGTGGCATATATCTACACATTCTATATCACAACAAATACCCCTCCGAATATTGAGTACTGACACAAAGGATGGCACAATCCAGGGGGAGGGGTATGTACTGTGTACAGGAATGTCAGGCTCCGTGCGAGTTCGAAGCGTCGTATTGCATGCCGTAAGGATTTCAGTCTGGACCGGGCAGATCTCACATAACTTGCCCCAAGAACCTACAAAAAGATCAATATAGGCCAGGGGTCCAAGGGCAACCTGATCGACATCAAGAGCATCATGCATCGGCCAAGATGAAGTCGACGCGAGTTTGTCCAGAGCTTGGTCACGTGAACGGACTAACATAACCCCGAGGGCGACTTTTTTCCCCGAACGAGTATGCCCCGGGTGTACTCCGTGCCTTGAGCGTACATTCAATCTCTCCTATATCCAGCTCCAATGGCGGATTCATCAAGTGCTGCTGCGGCCACAGGCGCCAGCAAGCCTACCGCGGCTCCGAAGCCGCCAAACCCAGTGTTCGCAATGATGGGTGCGGCTCTATTCCCCAGATTTTGTCCGCCAAAGATGCTAACGCTCGTGATAAACAGGCATGCCCAACTTTCGCTTCAAATTGCCCTCCCGCAACTGGATGATCTTCCTCACAATCACTGGATCATTCACGGGTGCCCTCATCTACGACCGTCGCCAGAAACGCCGCGCGCAACAAAAATGGTCGGAGCTCGTGGCTCACCTTGCGAACGATCCCCTACCCATTGACCAGATGCGCCGCAAGATGACTGTCTACCTAGCTGCACCACCTGGAGATGGCCTGCGCGTGGCCCGAGACCATTTCAAGGAATATGTCAAGCCGATCCTGGTCGCCGCCGCGTTGGACTACACCGTGATCGAAGGACGACGAGAGGGAGATGTGCGAGCCAGCATGGCGGAGAACATTCGCAAGCTGCGCCGCAAGGCCGGTGAACCAAGCTCAGCTGCCGAGGAGACCGGTGTCGATGCAATTGTTGCCGAGACGCGCGAACGCATCGGTATCTCCGATGAACCCGGCCCCAAGGGCGATCTCGTGATTGGCAGACATACCTGGAAGGAATACATCCGCGGATTGCACGAGGGCTGGCTTGGACCGCTGGACGCACCACCTCCACCCCCTGCCCCGGCTCCCGACGAGATCCCGGAGACAGTTGAGGGCATCAACGCGGACGGTCCCGCCGAGACTGTCGAGGCCGACAAGGAGAGCTCCGAAACCAAGACCGATGCCGAGAAGGAAGAAAAGCCCAAGCCCGCCGGTCCTACGCCCGCATACATCACTCCCACCGACTACTCGTCCGCTAGCCTCCCCCCTACCCTCCCCCACTCCTTCGACAGCTCCATTCCCGTCGAATTCCCTCACATTCTCGGCTTCCTCAAGACCCCAATCCGAATCTATCGCTTCCTCACACAGCGGCACCTCGCCGATAGCGTCGGCCGCGACGTTGCCGCAATTGTTCTTGCAGCAAATGCCCGGCCATACAGCGACGATGTTCTCAACCCAGACTCCGAGACCACCGGTGCAAGCGTTGACCCTACCCCCACTCCCGACAGCTCATTCACCGACCTCCCATCTCGCAAATTCGAGCAACAGACCGTCCTAGAGGCCGCCGAGAAGGAGTGGCACAAGTCCGTGCACAAGCACGAAGAAGGCGAGGGGGAGCGCGTCTGGCTCAACGACATCGTTCTCGATCCCCGCATTGCCTCGCGCATGCAGCGTGCCGTTCTCGCACCGGAGGATGAGGCCCGTTCCCAGCGTATCGCCGAGCAGCAGGAGTACATCCTTGGCGAAGAGCGTCCCGCTCCTGTTCCTTTCTGGAAGCGCATGTGGATCGACCATGGCTACGGCGAGAGCGAGGAGGCCCTGAAGCGTAAGCCGATTCTGGGTAACATTGACGGAGAGGATGGACAGTGAGAAAAGAACAAAAGCAGATGTTCAAACATATTTTCGCCTTGATCTTGATGGTTTGAAGTTTGTTTCATTTAATAGAACGGTTTATGGGATCCATGGATGGGGTTCTTTTTCGCTGGCATTTTGAGCACGGCTTGTGTGTTGTCTTTGTTTTTGCATATCCTGACTCCCCCCTCGGCTTGTACATTAAAGGCGCTTTTATGTTTGTGTGTTAATGTCGATTTAGAGATGTACATTGTCAAGGAAACATTGTTTGATCTGGGTAGATTGGTGTCTACCTTGAGCCATATCACTGGCAATAGATACTGATACATTGGATCCTCTCTGTATTTGTATACTTTCCAGACATTCAATCATGTCGGAATATATTCTCTCTCCGGTCTTTCTCTATGTTCGCCCCGTTTTTTCTCATTCCACATTCCATGTTTCACTTCTTCTCGTAAGTGCATACATCGCTACGTAGCTCATCGTCGAAGCGGGGATGTCACTTGCGGAAGATGAATGCCGCGTGTCGGTCCAATTGTATCAGTTCAGTTCAACTGGAAGACGGAAGACTCGGGCCACTTCTTGCTCGCCTTCTCGGCGTAAGCGGTCTTGTCACTGCCCCACTTGTCCAACAAGTCAAGAGCGATAGCAGCCTCGTTGATGGTGATCTCAGGAGCATCAAGGGTGGCAAGGAGCTCCTTCTCGCACTGCGACTTGGACTCCGGTTTCAAGAGCTGGCGTCCAGAAAGAGCGGCCTGTACGTGAGCGACACTACCCTTGTTGGACGAAAGGTAGGACTCGTTCCATTCCTCAAGCTTCTGGGACTTAGAGAGGAGCTTCTCGAACTCGGCGTTGACGGCCTCGGCGGCCTGCTCGGGGAGAGGCTCGGAAATGGCGTCCAGAGCCTTGCGGAAGCGAAGCAGTTGAAGGTGAAGGGTGGGGTTTGAGGGGTCGATAGCGTGAGCAGCCGAGAGGCACTTGACGGCAAGGAGGTGCTTGTCTGTGAGTGTGTTAATATTCAACTCCAGTTTAGATCATATTGGATAAAACTGACTCTTTCGGAGGTAAACCTCGAAGCCAAGACATTGAGCCTCAATGTTCTTAGTGCCGAATTCAAGCAGTGGGGTCAGGAACTTCATCACGTCCTTCAGAGGGTCCTGGGTCTGGACCAATGTGTTGCCCAGAGGGTCCGGGTCCTCCTTCTTTGTTTCTCCGTCAACGCTCTTGGCATTGGCAGCGGCGGCCTTTCTTGCCTCACGCTTGTCAGCTTCAATCTTCTCCAAACGCTGCTGTTCCTTCTTGGCCTTCTTGAGAGCCTTCTTTCTCTCATTCTCATCGGTAGAATCAAGTCCATTGGCCCCGCTGGGCATGGGTCCGTGAACAAGATCGGGCTGATCGTGAAGAAGCAAGTAGGCCTTGACAGCACCGAGAGCCATTCTTGTGTAGAAGGGGTGCTCGCGCAGGCGGTCTTCCCAGCGTACCATGTCCACGTAGGCCCTGATCATACCCTTGCGGAGAGAGAAGCTGTGGAAGTCGAACTGATCCTCCTGCCAGGTATCGAAGATGTTATAAACCGAGTGGAAGCGCTTCAAAGCAAGACCAAGCTTCTTCTGTCGGAGGAATGCCTCGGCGTCCTCGGTCAAGAACCAGGTGCATTGCATCTCGTGGAGATCGCCCAATGCGCCACCGACGGTCTCATTGCGAGTGAATTTGCTCATGAGATCCAGTCCCTTTTCGTTTTCGTTGTTGCGGAGCGCATACTTGGCCGCCTTGGTGTTGATGTGGCGATCCTTCTCGTCTAGCAGGCGAGCCTTCTCCATTTCTTCTGCTGCTCTGGCCGAATTGCCAAAGTGCTTCCAGATGCGCGCCTTGGTCATCTGGTACTCCACGGCCTTGGGTGACTGTTCAATGGCCTTGTCGACATTCTCCATCGCCTTGGCGAGGTTGCGGCTGAGGTGGTAGTTGTAGTGTTGAGCCAGGAAGTAGTATGTGCATGACAAGAACTCATTCTCGCCCTTCGACTCGGCGGAGCCATTTGACTGCGAGCTTGCCTCAGACACGTAACTTTCCACTAATCCCTGTACCACGTCACGCTTGGCAGGGTTGGTGTAGAGGTGCTTGATGTTGACGAATAATGAAGGAACGCCCTTCTTCAGCATGCGCTGCAGGTAGGCATCGGCGGTCTGCTTGAATTCGTCGCCTTCTAGGAAGTCGAGGGGGATGCGACGAGCAGCATCACAACGGGGGTTCTTCTGTACCCACTCATCGTATAGAGCTTTCAATGCCTTGTGGTCGGTTTCTGGGATAGCCTTGGCCAGGATCAAACCATTATAATAGATCGAGTTGTCCGGGTTGCGCTCCAGGAGTGCTGTATAGGCCGCCTCGGCTTCCGCCTTGCGGTCCAGTCGCAAAAGATAATCCGCCTTCATCTCCATGACTGCGAGCACATCGGTACACCGGTATCCAACGGCCTCAAGGTGTTCCAAAGCTCTCTCAAGATTTCCAGACTCCGCGATGATCGAGTTCTTGTATAGAATAGCCTCGGAGTTTTCCATATCGGCGACGGGCGGTGTGGTGCCCTTTAATGTGTCCTCGTAAGTGGTTAAAACTTTTTCGGCTTCCTGGAAATCTCCAGCCAAGTGATGGGCAATCGCGAGAGCGGTCCAGTTCTGGCGGAATCCGGGGCGAGCTTGCAGCATCGCACTACGGCTCTGGATGTATCCCTGGTAGTCCCGCATCTGCATCTGGAGCAGCGCGAGATCACGCTGAATGGGTTGCGATTCGGGCTCAAGGCGCAAAGCAAATCGGTAGGCCTTGATGGCCTCCTCGTAGTTCTTTTCTTGGCGGTACAGCAACCCATAGACGTGCCAGGTGATATGCGACTTCATGTCATTTCGAAGAGCCTCCTTGGCGAGCGCAAAGGCCTCCTCCGATTGCCCAATCTGGCTCATGTTGAGGGCCTTCATCGCTTGGGTGTCGCCATGGGTAGGGTTCTTGCGAAGAACCTGCTCTGCCGTCTTGATGCCTATTGAAGAGCAACGTGGTTAGACAGCAGTAGACTCGGGGAGGGAGGGACGCACCTTTCTTGTACTGCTTCATCTCAAAGTGGCGAACCACTTGACGAAACAAGGACTGGTCCTTGGAGTTCAATGGTTGCGGCATGGTGGGCGATGCTGATGGAGGACCTGTGTGCGAGGGAGGAAACGATGTGTGCGGGGGACGAGACCTCCGAGTCCGACCTTGGCAGAATGAACAGGCCGATAAGAGGTAGCCCTGCGTTTCTTCACCTTCGTCTTTATAGAAGGACAGGAATTTGAAGTTTGACAGAGATTTGATGATGTATACCTTTGTTTTGCTTGCTTATTTTATTTCAATCAGTGACAGTGAGAAGGTCGTCATAAACTCTACGCCTATAGCCTTGAAGCATCATATAAAATATCTATCACTGGAAGTATATACTTGCTTGATGAAGTTTATTTGGAAAAATTTTATATGCATTATTTGGTATCGAAATCCATGCCATATGATCCTTAGCCCGGTATAGGACCTGATAGGCTTTCACTACAGAGTACAGCCAGGATCATCCATCAACCTTGAGCTGTACGTGTTATACATGAGTTGGACGGCGGAAGCCATGAAAATTATAGGTATGCAGTAATGTACAAGTGGAGATGAAACATAGGTCTGGGGCGAGAGTTGAGCAGACCAATTCGAGTGCAGCGAGGTATGGGCCCTGCCATATCTATTTCTGACGATCATGGCGCCAGCTGTCGAGAGCATCCTGCCACGACGTAGAACTACTGCATTTTTCTGAAACCATCCCCCATGTCCGGGCTCGAATGATTTCTTCAATGGTGCGCTCATTGCGAACCAAATTTGCCAACGACTCGGTCCTCGCTTCGCGAGGGAAGAAACGGGCAGAGTATGGGTCTAATCGCTCATCAACCACTCGTTCTCGGTCTCGGGCGGATTCTGTCTGTCGAAGGATCAAATCCGGGTCATCTGGGTCGGGACTCGTAGCCACACCGGCGCAGTAGTTTAGAACATCTGATCTTGTCTGCCATGACGGAAATAGCACATTTTCCTTGAAGCCCTGGCAGGCGGCGGGGTGGATAGTCCTCCGGGATCGAGTGTCGGTCTGTCGCACTGCGGTTGATGATGGGTCAAAGCCCTCCTTAGCCGGTGTGATCAACGCATTGAGGTTCTGTGTTATCGAATCGTCGATTGTCGATCTCGAAAGTCGGAGAAAATCTGAGCAAAGACGGAGATGTTAATCGATGTTAAGCACGGGGGGATCACTTCTAACAAACCTCTGAGTAGCCTCTCGTCAAAACAAAACCGAGGAGTGAGCGCCGGGGCCTCCGTTGATGAGACCTGTGACATTCTGCTGCGAGCTTCCTCCCCAGATTCTCGATTTGACTTGATCCAAAACCACTCCAGTTTGAAGACGATGTTTGTTGATATATATCAGAGTAACTTGTATGGACACAGATTTAGTATGTGGTTATTCATGGAGCGTAGTTCGATGTGATAGAAATAATGGATTGGCGACCTGTGACGGAGAGCATCGTCAGCCCAAGCTCGCCGAGATCCACCGCATTAGACCGTATTAGGTCTAGCGTGCTCGAAGTTGATGCCTCAGGATTGAAAGCACAGCATATCTATATGCAGTTGATTTGAATGGAGCAATTCAGTTAAGTTATAATTAAAGAAAAGCTTGTGAGCGCGTCCAATAAGTATATAGCTTTAAGAGCAGATATAATTTTCTTATGAGCGCTATACTACATCTATATCTAGACTAGATTCCTGCTTTTACACCCTACTCATTTTATAGCCGCATTCACTACATAGGTGGTGCCTCGCAATGCCAAGCACAAACTGAGGAGGGATTTGATCTTGTTTCGAATGAAAATGTCATTAATTGATGAGTAGCAAGTTTGTTAGACTTCGGTCTAGATTCTTAGGAATCGCAAAGGGCAAAGAAGCAAAAGACAAGAACAAACCCCCTACTGAGCAGGAAATCAACCATTGTTCAATAATTTAGGGCAACGTTAAAAGGACCCCCTCTTATTGATATTCGGACCCCCTCTCCACCTGTAAGCCTAATTAGGGAAGGCGTAGTATGTGTATTAGTGACATAGCTAATGTTTTAACACCATTAGACAGACCGTTTTTTAGACCGCTTTTTAGACCCCCTATCGCAAACCGAAGAGTAAGTCTATATTATCTTACTTTTTTCTAAACGTTTTGCTTTAGTGTGTGCTTTTTATAGAAGACAAGATTTAACCTAATCTATAATAGTTAAGTGTTTTAGTTTCTCCGTACTAGAGCCAAGTGGCACTAGAGCCAAGTGGAAAAGGTAGGGAACTTTTAGTTCTGACAAGGCACATAATCTTGGAAGTACACCTGGGCGTGGTATATGACCCAGCTATGCACCCCCTCATCCCCCTAATTACCGCGACGTCATTCACTCCCACCGCTACCGCCAAGAACAACAACAATGAGAGAAGGCCTCGACCTCCCGGAATTCGGGTACCTCCCATTCGACCATTTCGTCGTAGTAAGCGCCCCCCGTTCCTCAATACACATCTGTGAGAGCAAGTCTATGCTAAGCTCTCTATTTGCCCAGGCAAACTGGGACACGACATCCCCGCTCTCCAAAAACGAGCAAAAAAGAATCCTTGTTGAGAAATGGATCGCGCTAGGAAAATATGGGCGAAACGTATCTATCTACCCACCAACCTATTCATTTAATGATCACTACCTACTAACCAAACTCCTAGGACTGGGCCCTCGCTATATTCGATAACCTAATCATCGATCATATTCTAGAGGGGGTACCGCAAGACCTCCTCTTAGAGGAAGACCGCGCAATTAGTAGCCTGCTCTCGACAGTCCTATGGATCCGGACCTGGTTCGGCGATCTTTCAGATAAAACAAGCCAAGAAGCCGCAGACACGGCGTATGCCCGACTCCGGAAGGAAGTCCTACAGCAGGGCCGCGAGAATAACCACGTTTTCTGCATCCCCGAGGAGTTCGTCTTCGAGGATCGGGAGGAACTAACAGCAGATGCCTAGCGGGACTAGGATATGATTGAAGGCGTTGCGACAGGTCGTCCGGGTTCCGTACCGGGTTATCTACTTACGGCGCTAATGCACTGCCCTGAGCTGTTTGAGGGGATATCGGATGGCGACTGGCGGCATTTTGAGGGGGAGGAGCGGGCTAAGGAGCTGGCGGAGAGTTATCGGACACAGAAGGCGCTAGTTCTTATTGCAGATCGGAAGGCCTGTGAGGAGGGTTGGGTGCTGGCCCTAGCGGTGAATCACCGGGGGGAGATCCTTCCGGTTAGGGTGCGTGAGCGGGCCACAGAGGCGGCGCAGATTGCGATGAATTGGTTTAAGGGCGAGCCTTTGTCGGAGATTGTGGATGACGAGGATGAAGACGTGGAGTTTTACCTAGGGGGAGGGAATGGGTGGGAGTAGCTCTGAGTAGTAAATTCCTAGAAGCTCATATATCAACCTGCTCTATTGTACATAAACAACAGAAACCTGGCCACCTAGCGATGATGGGCGCGGTGTCTTCGGTGCTTCCCGATACTCCGAGGCGCCAGAGTTGGCTCTGCATCGTCAAATGGAACAATATTTCATGCACGGGTTCCCGAATCCCAGACCTTTTAAAGAACAATTATGTACTTGGAGACAGCAGGCCCTCGATGGATTACTAAGCATGTGACCAAGGCGCGTGGACTCGCGCCCTATCAATTAAGACGCGACCCTTCCGACATCACATTCTGGGACCACCGCATTAATTGCTTACACCATAACCCCTTTGAACAAAAACATCTGTACATGCCATTTATTTCACTATTCTCATTTTCAACACCTGAAATTCCACCCCAAGATGCCTGAGCTCGCGGAAGTCCACCGCATCGTGCATTTCATTCGCCAACACTTGGTTGGGAAGACGTTGTCCAAGGTTCAAGCACAAGATGACACTGTTGTATTCGGAAAAGTAGGAACCAGTGCCTCTGAGTTTCAGCAAGCAATGCAGGGGAAGAAAATCGTGGGAGCCGGTCAGCAAGGGAAATATTTCTGGATTACAATGTCTTCACCACCACATGCCGTGATGCACTTTGGAATGACTGGGTGGTTTAAGATCAAAGATGCCGACACATACTACTACCAAAGTGACAAGCCCGCTGATAAGGAATGGCCCCCTAAGTATTGGAAGTTCTTGATGGAGACAAGTGATGAGGCCAAAACTGAGGCTGCATTCGTGGATGCCCGCAGGCTTGGTCGTATAAGGCTTGTTGATTGTCCGGCCGACGATATTCGAAACCACACTCCATTGAAAGAGAACGGACCTGATCCAGTCACCGATAAAGACATTGTCAATGAAGCTTGGCTGATGGAGAAGTTGAGGAAGAAGAAAGTGCCTATCAAAGCTCTCCTGCTGGATCAGGCTAACATAAGTGGAATTGGGAATTGGATGGGGTAAGTTATTCGGCTAAATGTCTCTTTGACTATACTCGAGCTAACCCTCTTCAGCGATGAGATTCTCTACCACGCCAAGATACACCCAGAGCAATACAGCAATACTTTGAATGACGATCAGATCAAGGAGCTACACTCCTCTATCCACTATGTTTGCTCGACCTCAATTGGAGTACTGGCAGACTCAGAGAAGTTCCCTGAGCACTGGCTTTTCAAACACCGCTGGGGCAAGGGAAAGAAGAACCAGCCAGCGGCCCTTCCAAATGGAGATAAGATCACTTTCCTTACGGTTGGAGGTCGGACAAGTGCCGTTGTTGCAGCTGTCCAGAAGAAGACCGGTGCCGTCGCCAAGGAAGTTGATGAGGATGCCACAAACGGGACGCCTGCTATCTCTGGACGTAAGCGTGCCGTCCCGAAAACCGAAGAGGATTCAGAAACAGAAGAAGCACCGAAAGCTAAGAAGCGAGGGTCACCCAAACAAAAGCAAGCAATTGTGAAGAATGAGGAGCTTGAAGAGGAGAAGGTCAAGCCAGCCACTACGGGTAGAAGACGATCTACTCGTACAAAGTAAGGGAATTTACTTGTGTTATACTTGTACTTGTTAATTCTTGGTTTATCCAAGATGTTCATGAAATCTGATACACCTTGCCATCTTGAACCCTTATTTAGAAGAAAAACCACTCTCTTCTTGTTCTATAGAATTCCGTCTTGAGAGTGCGGCAGTCGGATCCGATGCCGGGTTTCCACAAATAGAACTAGGGAAATGTCAGCAGGGAATCGTGAAGGGTCTACATGTAAGGCAGATCTAGCATCATCAAGCGAAATTCCATAATCTGATGCGAATCGCAGGACATCCATCACCTGGGACCACATAGTGAAACTTATTACACTCAGAGGTTGTACCGGGCATGGTTGGCGATGGAATAGTTGAGGTTGGAGTTGCTGAGCTAGTTGTGGTTTCGGAGACGGGGACTGGCGTGCAGGATCCTGGGAAATTGGTTGATTGAGGCGAGGGGACATCGATATCTGGTTCGCAGTATGTTTCGAGCAGATCTTGGCAGTTGCCGGGAAGATCTGCCCACTGGAAGCCGTCCTCGTAGTCCTCATTACTGATAGGGCAGTATTTGGAGTAGTCGTCGATCATACTTTGTGCTGTTTGGTTGATTGTGTATGTGTCTGTAAAGGTGGTGAAGTTGGTCGGCAGAGCAGTGTATGTTGGGGATTCTGTCACCTCAGTTGGCGCGGGGCCAGTTTCCCAGTCACCAGTGAACATAGTAAATGTCCTGAGAAATGGTAACATTTATTTGAGACTTTTTATAAGTTAGAGGCCGGGACAAACATAGAGGAGGTTATGTAGGTGGTGACGACGTCCCAGTTCGAGCTTGGTGGTGGGCTGTTTCCAATTAGCCCAAATCATTTTCTGGCTGCATGCTACATATCTAATGAGAGGGCTCCCCAGGGGACCAGCTCAGGTGAATCGTTTTCAATTATTCGGAGAGGCATTGTTGTTCTACCTCAGGTGTGGGGAAAAGTAAAGAGAAGCAGAAAGGGGAATGGAGAGTACTAGATCGCGGGTCAGGGCACCTGGGCATCCCGATTTATTTACTCAGCTTTAGTTGGCCCCCGCCGGGTCCAACGGGTGGAGCGGAGCCTCCGGAGCCCAAGTGGGTCTGGTGCGTATTTAGCGCTCAGAGGGAAATCATGCCTTAGTGCCTGATTATGGCCTCATTTCAGGCCAGACGCGGTACATCTGTGCAGTGCTAGCTCAATGAAACTCGACACGCTAGCTCTACCTGTGACCTTTGGATACAAGAGCAGCTGAAATCAAGGCATCTCACGTGAGCGCTATACTCCGTCTTACATATATATTGTCTCCACTACGGAACGTGACATCGCTTGGACTTGGACTTGGCCTTCTGTTTTCTCTCCACAAATTTCGTCTTTGCAAATATCACTTTCACTTTCACTTTTGTTATTTCTCAAAAAAAAAAAGCCGTGTCATTTATGACCTGTACCTAGGTAGAGCATCATGCCCAAACCTGGCCGCCTCGCTTCCATTCTACGTCCATTCGGCCTGATCTGGTTCTCTATCTGCTGTAAGACTTTCCCACAGAAAACTTCAGCTTCACCAACTCTACTAATTACTCCTTCAGTACACTGGGAAGCCTTGACACAAGCCGTTCGTCGAGATGGTCTCGCAGCACTTGGTCGCCCACAACAAATTCAAGATGCCGCTTCAGCAAAGTTGCTTAGTATAACCTGTAATCTACCCCGCTCCCCATATATCCCCTACCTGAAATGATGTACTAAGTGGACTAACCATCATAAATAGCCAGTGGTTTTATCGCTTACGAAGATACAACCATTGTTCCCTCGCTCGTACAAGCTGCTAGCGGCGTTGCTCTGGAACTTGGCCCCGGACCAGGAAATCAGATCCATCGTTTTGATGTCTCTCGTGTCAACCATATCTATGGCGTTGAACCCAATCCCCAGTTCAAAGATACTATCGATGCTCTCTTAGACAAACATGGTCTGCAGGATAGATATAAGCTCATAACTTGTGGCATTGAAGATAGCGACATTTTGAGAGAAGAGGGAATTACAGAGGGCAGCTTGGATACTGTGTTATGCATTCAGGTCCTATGTACCGTAAAGGATCCGAAGAACGTCATGAAGGAGGTGTGGAAACTCCTTAAACCAGGAGGCAAGTTTATATTCTGGGAACATGGGTGGAGTAGAAACCGCTTGACGAATGTAGCGCAAGGTATGCTTGTCTCGAGTGGAATAACCGATCCGATATGCAAACTGGCTAACATGAGAAAACCCTAGCTTGCTGGAATCCTGCCTGGAGCACATTCGTCGGTTGTGATTTGACTCGAAATGTGTTGGCGGACATTCTCAACAGTGGCGAATGGGAAAATCCACATGAGATTGAAGAACCTCATGAACCGTTTAGTTTGCTGCCTAGAATTCAGGGTGTGCTTATCAAGAAGAAAGCATAATTGAACCCCGATGAGAGCAAATCCACCCACTCTTGAGGTCGAGTTGGACAATCAACATTAAAACAGCATGACGAATACATATGGTATAAAGAAGAAGGCAATATGGGAATAGTATGATTCAAACAGACCCACTGCATCTGATTAGGGTGATGAATTGATCATCGCGTGCGAAGAGAAAAATAGGATAGATCTGCTTTCATCCCCGTGTTTTGATGCGTTGGGGTCTGGGGACGAAAAGAGAGTCCAATTACATTCCCCACCATTTGCCCCGGGCACTCTCGTGCTTGTCAATCATATAGATAAAGCATCAATATGCAGGTTCTAAAAAGACCCAAAATCTATTATATCAAATCTATGTGTGACTAGGAAGGAACCTCATTGGCTATATATCAAACTGCGCAGCCACATGCTTCTCGCCAATCTCGCCCGACGACTAATCGGGGCATCCGGCACAAAGATATCAAACGCATGCCAGTAACCCGGCCAGACATGTAATTCGATGGAAACACCAGCCTTCTACAATGCAGTTGCATAGTCGACATCCTCATCGCGAAACAAGTCCGCGTCGCCGACATCAATGAATGTCGGCGGTAAGCCGCCGAGGTCTTTTGCGTGCGACGGAACAGTGTACATGGTAGCATGCTCACGGTTCGTTCACTTCCAGACTTTTGTCTTTGGCTACTTGTGAGCCTGAATCCTAATTTTGATACTAAATGAGGGAATGGCGTTCGTATTCACAAAAGTTTTGTCTTCAATAAAAACGCTGTGTTCTTGAGCGTTGTGCATCAGTGCACCCGCCTGTATGAATCATTTACTCCTTCCGTAAAATCTTCGCGCAAATTGCCCATCACGTCTGGCCAAGCAAAGTCTTTTGATGGAGAATCTGAGATGATCAAGTATGGTAACTCAGGATTGCGGGATCGATTGTTTCAGTGCTTAGTAGTTCTCGGGGTCTCTCAAGGGTTCTAAGGGTTGAGAGGTGGAGGGCGCTGGTTGGTAGCGACTGCTTGCTCGGTTGCCAGGTTTAGATATGTGCCTAGGAGATCGTCGATGAGGCATTTTTGTCATTAGAGCTTGCGACAGGGCGCAGCACCTGTAGTCATTAGGGAAGCAAGCCACAATGGAATAGAGCAGCGATCACGACTAGGCAGCCCCGGAGAAGCGGGTCACAGATGAGGCACTAGGACAAGGAATTGGCGAGGTGGTAAATCATCGAATCGGGGACGAGGAATGATCGAGGGGAGCAGACAGAGAATAACCCATTTAAAGAACGAGTAGACTATGAAGGCTGAATGAATACCCTGTGAAGGAATAATCTATACCGTATTGCTTTCCCAAAAGCCGGGCAACCTCCTCGCAACGCCACCTACGCTAAGAGACCGAATAATTCCGATCACAAGAGTGAATTGTGAAGGCAACAAGGGCTCAGCCGTAGTTTGCAACCGAAAAGAAGCAGGGGGCGAATGGGGCAGTCGGCGAGTCCGATTAGGCGGGCAAAATTGCAGGGGGACAGCGATAAGTGCAAGATAGAGAGCAGAAGAATGGAAAAGTGAGATAAAGGGAGGAAGAGCAGCGAAGACTGGTTATTTATGTCGGAGGGCATAGGAGGTAGGTTACGTGACGGCGTATTGGGGCGCTAAACCCAACACTTTACAAGAAGAAGTCATAATATTAAGCAACCCGCGTTAAGTACACACATATGCTCTTCCACAAGAGTGGAAGTAAAAATCAATTCACAACTAAAGAAACGCATAAAGAATCGGTGACTTACTCGATAGATTCGTAATCAGTTTTCACATCTTCATGCAAAGTGGCATGGAAAATTTCATAGTTACCCTCATTGCCTGCATCATAGATGGCAAAAACAATCAGATCAAAGAAGCCCCGGAACTCTACCTCATCGAGTACCTCTTTCCAGCAATCAGCCACCTCCTGAGCCGGATGACCAAACATGCCACAGCCAAGGGCGCCTAGAACTAGGCGTTGGTGACGATTGTGTCCTGCCGTGCGTAGGATCATTCGCATCTTATCTTTCATAAGTTTACGATCGGTGTCATTCAGATACTTGTTGGCTTCGGTCGTAGGTGGGTGCTTCTGCGCAGCCATGCTGATGACACTGACTTGTGGGAGCGGGTCTCGCTTGTTCGACCACATGTAGCTATACCCTCGCTTCTCATTCTCACGGAAAACTATCACATGGGGTGAGTAAATACATTCCTTGTCGCCCATAGGGTAAAGTCGGGGCAAGAGAGTCTCACTGAGGGTGCTTCGGTAGCAAAGTTGTTCCTCCTGAGCAGGGGCACCACGAAGCCAAGCACCCCCGATAGTCTCGGCATTTGCAAAATTGAGAACACAGACTGGCATTGGATCAGCATGATCCATGAGATCGTGGGCGTTATGAAGGGCGATGGCAACATCATATGTATCTCCATGCACGACCATTACCCGAGTGGACAGACCCTGACATTCTTCCATTTTAGAGTTCAGAGGGCCAACATTGTCCTTGGTAACTTTGTAACCCAGCCGAGATCCAGCATCTGCCGAGCGCAAAATGGTTGGAATGTGAGTTATTGCCTCTTGGGCTACCTGCTTTCTGCCTGCAGGGCTTAGACCTACTGCCTTTGCCGGCTTGATTACACGGGAATTAGCTCCTTTGACTTTGTGAACAGTCGCAGGTCCCTTCTTACTGGGGGCGCCTCCTCTGGGGCCGGCCTGGAAGTAGGAACTGAGCTTCCGCATTTCAATATTTGGTAGGGTGGCAGGGTCGGCTGTTAGATCAAGGGGACCTCGAGCTGCAGTGTACGCATCTGAAATTGTGGATCTTGAAAGGTAGTCAGAAAGACGTCTGAGATGGGGTGAATTTTGGATTGAGACATCCCGTGGATCTTCCATTGGGCGATCTCGGGAGGGCAGTGGTCCCATTTGACCGTGACCTCGACCTCGACCTCGGTAGCCATAAGGTCTGCAGTTCAGTGCGACTGCCATTGGGTGATCTCGCTGTCCACTCTTGAATTTGTGCCTGGGGTTGAATTTCTGTATGTGGTTCCCGCCACCTCGACCTCGCCGGCCATTATACCTACTGGTATTGGTGCTCGGCCTTGGTTGCGTTCGGTTGCTACTAAAGGAATAACCGTACTTGAGCTGGGGAGCTCGCTGCTGGTTGTTTGCGTCGGCCATGTTTGATAAAGTAAACCTATAGTAGAAAAGTTGATAAGTTGAAGACGAGGTCGGAGACCGCTTTATGGAGGATTCCAAACATGTTATCGATAAAACAAGTAGACTTGAACAATAGTAGACACGAACAATGAGTTCAAAGAGGTAAAAGAAGACGTTGTATACTTCGGGAACAATCAATGGCAGAATCTCAGCGGTGAGGTTCCAAGGTTATCTCCGATCTCGCCACCGATGACAAAGCGCGTAACGCCGTTGGCCCAAAGTTCCAATAATGGTTAATAATACGATCTATTCTAATTTTCCTGATCTCTTTCAGTCTGTGATCTTTCACAAAGCTTTACATTCTTAAAATATCACAGTTCCTCCTTTGTTTCGTTCAGCGAGATCTATCTTGCTAAAAGCGGTACCCCGCCACAATGAGCGCGATCCTTTCGGCAGACGATCTGAATGATTTCATTTCGCCGGGGGTCGCGTGTATCAAGCCAGTTGAAACACTTCCACAAAAAGATACGAAGAACTCGGAGGTAAGTCTTCTTTCGCGCTGGTCGACAGCTTTTCCGGTGCATATTGAGGATATTCTGGCTAATTTTGAACCGTAGAACTCCTATGAAGTGACTACCGAAGACAAAGTTCAACCAGAAGAACTACCACCCGCGCAGATCTCTCTGACTGACTGCCTTGCTTGCTCTGGCTGTGTTACATCCGCGGAAGCAGTCCTTATTTCCCTTCAGTCCCATACCGAGGTCCTCAGTACACTTGATGCATACCCGGAAATACCTTTGTCGCATGGGCACAATGGGACGGTGGCAAACAATGCCGGCGACTCTGGAGAGAGTAAGATTTTCGTGGCCAGTGTGAGCCCGCAGGTTAGAGCAAGCCTGGCAACAACGTATGGTATCTCGGAGAAAGAAGCGGGGCACATGATCGATCAATTGCTCAGTGGCCCGCAGGGCCTGCGGAGAGGAGGCAAGAATGGCAGCGGCTTTACATGGGTGGTAGACACAAATGTCATGCGGGAGGCCGTCCTGGTTCTCACCGCAGATGAGGTTTCGGACTCGCTCAACTCGGGAGAATCGGCCGGCCAGTCTGATAACTCTCTTCCCAAACGGCCCATCTTATCTTCTGCATGTCCCGGATGGATTTGCTATGCCGAGAAGACACATCCATTTATCCTTCCGCATCTTTCCCGACTTAAGTCCCCGCAGGCTCTGTCGGGAACGTTCCTCAAGACCATTCTGAGCAAGTCTCTCGGGATCCACCCCTCTCGGATTTGGCATTTGGCAGTTATGCCTTGCTTTGATAAGAAGTTGGAAGCCAGCCGAGAGGAGCTCACAGATGTGTCGTGGCGCCACGGAGATGAGATGGGTTCTGACGCACAGCCTGTTCGCGACGTAGACTGTGTCATCACTGCCCGTGAGCTCCTGTCTCTAGCCTCCGCTAGAGGATTTTCCCTGCCAACCCTGCCATTACAAGCTTTGCCTTCGTCCTTTACTCCGCCATTCCCGGAGAAAACACTCGAATCCTTCCTTTCATTCAAACGCTCTCGAACCGAACAATCTCTCGCCACGGGCACCTCTGGAGGCTACCTTCACCATGTCCTCACGAATTTCCAATCCCGCAATCCCGGCAGTGAACTCGTGGTCAACCGTGGGCGCAATGTCGACGTCGTAGAGTACGTTCTCATGTCCCAAGAAGGCCGGCCGATCTTGAAAGCTGCTCGTTATTACGGTTTCCGAAATATCCAAAACCTTGTCCGGAAGCTCAAACCTGCGCGGGTGTCGAGACTTCCTGGTGCAAAGTCCGCCGCAAAGCCCGCCGCTGGTCGGCGCCAGCCAATGTCACGCAATGCTGCATCCGCCGGCAGCTCAGGATCAGATTATGCCTACGTGGAAGTCATGGCTTGCCCAGGTGGTTGCACGAACGGCGGTGGTCAGATCCGGGTGGAGGACGCCAGAGAAGCCGTCGCCCCCGCTCAAGATGAGGAATTAGGCGCACCTGTCAAGGCATCACCCCACGAGCAACGCGCATGGCTCGCTCGCGTTGATGAGGCATACTACTCTATGGAATCTGACTCTGACCCTGAGCTGGAACCCCAATCTCAGCAGGTTTCAGTGGCTGAAAAGGAAGCTAAGATTCATGAAGGCTTGCGTCGCTGGTCGCAATTCATGGATATTCCACTCTCTAAGCTTGTCTACACAACATACCGCGAGGTTGAAAGTGACGTTGGCAAAGATCAAACTCCCGCCAATGATACAACTCGTGTTGTTGAACTAGCCGGGAAGATTGGTGGTGGTTGGTAAAACATTTTGTTTGCATTTTCTTGTACAGCCAGGAGGTCATTTTGTCTATTAGTACTTCATTTGCATGGGCGTTGGGATTTTCTTTCGATCATGATTGCATATGCCCACGGAAGATACCAGATTCTCATTTGAGGGTCATGGGCGACGATATATGAGCTTGGTTTTTGGAGTTTTGGCGGTTTATACCTGAGAAACTAGTCTTAATAGCTATACAGATGCTCAATGCTATGTTTCAACGTTAAGCATCCCGTAGAGGCACATTTAAATCAATAGAAAGAGGGGGCAAAAACTACGAATATCGAAAGTGAGGCTATACTTCGTGGCTGCATATCGTGCACGGGCCATAATGATGACTCATCCATTGGTTTTATATCTGACTAAGCACCTAAAATCCCGCTTCGAAAAGAAAAAGCATCCAACTCTCACGTCCAGCAGCCAATACTACCACACTACATCCTACCTCCTACGGGATCATCAAATCGCGCCACCTAGACCTATCTTTACGCAACCAACACACACACCAACGATGTCTCGCGAAGCATACCAGGTCCCCTCGATGGGTGCGCAGACCGCCTTCGACACCCAAGGCGGATACGGCAGCGCCATGAATGTCGACAGCCCCTCGGTCGTTTACCTCTGCGGCGAGTGCTCTGCCCGCGTCCCTCTCAAGCGCGGCGACCAGATCCGCTGCAAGGACTGTGGTCACCGTGTGCTGTACAAGGAGCGGACGAAGCGGTAAGCCTTTTCTTTTCTTGGGTTCTTGCTCGCAGTGCCTGTGCTGACGTTTCTTCCTTTTTGATAGTATGGTCCAGTTCCAGGCTCGATAAATGCCGTGCCTGCGTTTGATTTGAGCCCGGTGGCCGTGGTTGGGGGTGTGAAGTCTCAGGGACTGGTGCGGAGTTGGAGGAATCGGCCCGAGGATATCTTTGGTTTTGACGAATTATGCATTTGAATGGCGCTTTGGAGTCTATTTACACATACGTTTTTCTTTTCTCTTTTCTCTGCTCTTGGTTTGCGAGGATGCATTGCTGAGGCCGTATTCTCCAGCCTAGGCATGGACTAGTGAATAAAACTGATCTAAGCTTTGTTGTCTGAAATAGAACAATGATCGCAGCTTTCGGAGAAGAAAAATAAGCTTTTTTCCTATTAAGTACCCCGAACAAAATAAAAACAGTTTTTAATACCGGAAAATGTGGTATAGGTTAGATGCACACAATACACAGCTGAACGAAATATGTGAAACCTGACCTGAAAGCTCCCCCGAAAATAATCAAAACACTAAGTCCGTAATTTATGTAACATGAATGGAAAGTTTTCAAAGCAGGTTGCTAACCTCAATGAACTGCTCCAGGCACTTCAGAGACTCGCCGCTCTCAATTGCCCAGCGTGCACGGCGGACACCTTCTTTCCAGCGTCCACCTCCAGGACCACGCTCCGTAATGACCTTGCCATCGTCGCCAGGTCCCATGTTGCTAGTATCAGCTTCACACACACCTGCGGTAACCAGGAGAGCTGCAACGTTCATGAAAACGAACTCCAGAATGGGGTCGTCCCGCGGAAGCTCGTTGCGGAGGATACTCATGAGCTTTGCGGCGTTATCCTTGGGCATCTTGCGTCCGTATACAGAGGACAGTGGGTGGCTGGGGAGACCGAAGTCTGACGGCTGAAGCTGGAAGGTATCAAGCTTCACCAGTGTACGAGGGTTCTGGTCCTCCTCATCACTCGAGTCATCTCCGTCATCTGACGCCCTGTAGGCAGGATTCGGGTATTCAGAGAGTCTCCAGCAGTTGGTGGGTCCGGCACAGCTAATCTCGTCCATGTCCTCTTGGCCACAAACAACGAGAGCCTTCTTCGCCCCAGTTTGTTTGAGAGCTTCGGCAAAGACAGGACCAAGGCTCTGGTAAGCTACGCCGACGACGCGAGCTTCTAATGCCCAGTCGACGGGGTTTGCCAAGGGTCCCATAAGGTTGAAGATGGTTCGGAGACCAAGACCGCGACGAACCGGGTTGGCATGCATCATTCCGGGGTGGAAGTTAGGGGCGAAAAGGAACGAATAGTTCGTCTTCTCATAGATCTTGTGGAGGTTCTCGGCATTGACAGCATCGATGTTGGGTGAAATAGGCACAATGGACTGTAGAACGTCCGCAGACCCAGAGAACGAAGTCTGGGCACGGTTTCCGTGTTTGGCTGTCATCAAGAGTGGCGATGCAACAATTGAGGAGGTTGTAGAAATGTTGAAAGTAGAGTGAGAATCTCCGCCAGTTCCGACAATATCACACTAGACGTCAACTGATGTTAGTTATTGCCGTCGGGTCAATGGTAGCGACGAGCAAGTAGACATACCAAGCCACCCTGATAGTTTCCTTCCTTCCTCCCACGGGCCTTGATAATCTTCTTCATTGAGCCCTTGTCAACCTGGCAAGCAGCGTCTCGCATACCCTGAGAACATTTCGCAATCACAGCAGGATCCCTGTCCTTGCCGGTTGAGTGGAGCAAGGTCAAGAGTGCAGCAGTCTGAACATGGGACAACTGATCCTCAAAGATCAATGCAAAAGCTGCAGCAATCTCATCCGCGCTCACCTCTGCAATCTTTTCTGCACTGACTTGAATGCCTGCTGTGGGGGGATAGGCCAGACGCTGAAGGAGCGGGGAGATAGAGATGGGATCGGGGCGCTTAGGCGGGGGTGTTGTAGGAGTCTCCAT